CAGAACAAGGCTCTCTCGTGGCATTAGTCCTTTATGTTATGTCAGCAAAGCTCTGTTTCACGTGAGATCACTATGCAGAACTCATGACAGGCTGAAGGGAGAGAATGGGATTTGTACAGGATAGCTTTTGCTTTAAATCCCTTGATGGATAAAACACACAAAAAACAGGTAAACAAAGTACAGACAACTGCTTACAAGAACACATATGGTACAGATAACAGACTTAAAGACATTTATAAGGTGAGATAAATACTAACAATTATTTTTAGAGCAGTTTAAATGATGAAGTATTATTATTAATGTTATTGTTATTGTTGTACAACCTAATTCAGAAAAGCTAAAGCATTGTGTGAATTGTAAATAAAAAACAGAATGTAATGCTTTGCAAATCTCACAGACCTTTATGATTATTCATAGAAAACATCAAATGTTCAAACTCTGAAGTGCAAAGTAAAATTATTTCTAAATTATATAACAGCATCCGGCGGTGTAAAAACGACAGCACTCTGTATATTAAAGCGAAGTGGGAAAAGGAGGGTAATTTGACAATTACAGAGAAGTGTTGGGCTCACGCATGCAAGATACAGTGGGCTACCACTGGGTCTAATGTTTGGCGTGAATTTTGCTGGAAAAGCATTATGAGATTTTTCATTACCCCTGCTCAACAAAGATATCGAGGAATTGGTGATAAATGTTGGAGATGTGGGGGAGATGGAGCTAACCATTTCCACATCTTTTGGGACTGTAAAGATATTCGCCAGTATTGGTCTCTAATCCATGATCATTTACAAAATGTTTTTTCATTTGTTTTTCCTTCAACTTTTGAGACCATGTTTTTGTGCAATGCACCAGTGCATAAACTGAATTCCAACGACAGAAGACTCCTGTACATCCTTCTGGCCGCAAGTAAAAAGCCTCTTACGAGAAGATAGCTTAAGCCTGAACCACCAACGATAGAAGACTGGATACATTCTGTACAAGAGATCTATACGATGGAAAAAGTGTCATTTTCTCTTAAACTTCAGAGGGATACCTTCTACGGAATATGGTCTAAATGGACAGACTATGTTAAGCATATGAGGTGTGATTTTGTGTATGATGTTACAACCCTGAGTTCTGCGTAAACCTACCTGTCCTGCTGCCTCCTAAGCCTAGGTTGTTTTTTTTTTGTTTTTTTTGTTTTTGTTTGTTTGTTGTTGTTGTTGTTTTTTTTTTTGGGGGGGGTGTTTTTGTTTGTTTTTGTTTTTTCTTCTTTTCTTTTCTCTTCTTTTTCTGTCTTCTTTATTTTTCAATTATAAGTTAAAATGTGACAGCAAAGAAAATGTAAAAAGGCAAACTACTGTTATGTTCAACAGCTGTCCCAATAAAAGAGATAATAATAAAAAAAAAAAGTTCAAACTAAGACATTTTGATATTTCATGAAAACCATAGTACAAATATTTGTGTATATATAGTTCATCAAAGTATGTTTTCCCAAAAAAGATCAGAGGAGGGCAACAACGGGTGGAAAAAGAATTGCTGCTAAAAAGAATAGCTGGAGGAATATTTATCATTTAATTCTTTTCATTTAGGTTAAATGGCAACAGCTCAGTATGAAAACAGGCAGAGTGTCTTAGAAGTCAAACCTCTGTCTACAAATTTTGAACAGTTTCAGATTAATGTTGCTCAGTGCAAAATTATGAAGGAATTATGAAAGGAGAGAAGACTCACCATCTGCAGTATATACCATCCTTACTGGAATATTCTTAAAAAACAATAAGACTGTTGAAATATTCTGTGAATCGCTACCTTATTGTGGTGGAGGGGCTTTCTGTGTCCCAGGGACTCCAGGGGCTATGTTGTCGGGGAGCTTTTGCCAGGTCTGGTGAAGGTGCCTGAGGGCGAGCGTCTGGTGGCCGGGGCCCTGAAAAAGGGACATGGGCCCATCCTCCTTTAGGCCCACCACCTGCAGGAGGCGCCATAGGGGTCGAGTGCAATGTGTGTTGGGCTGTGGCCAGAAGCGAAGGCCTGGCGTACCGATCCCAGGCTACCAAAACTAGTGAGTGGGACATGGAAAGTCACCTCTCTGGTAGGTGAGGAGCCTGAGTCAGTACCGGCTACATTAGGGGTCGGCAACACTCAAAGAGCCAAATGGACCATAAGGAGAGAGCACCTGGATCTGCAAATCTTTTTAGACACGTAAATTAAAGATAACACTGCATATACTGTTTTATGCTATGTATAAAAAATGGCTGGTGTCTTGCTTGTGAAATTTTATTTATGTACAAAAAACATTTTAAACATTTAGAACTTTGTAAAGCAAAAAACAACAAAAAGCACATGCTGAGTTGAAAGTCTTTCAAATGAAATAAAAAGTTGAACTCAAAGTACACATGCAGCAAATGAAAACTGCCGCAGACAGTTGTCGTGCCAAGACAGGTATGCCCGACAGAATCTGTTTCCCTGAATCGGGAGCGCGTACTCTGCCTCAGTTACAACCAACTGGATGTGGAAGTAGTGATGTTTTACTTTAATGAATAAGTGAAAGATGAGTGTCGTGACATTAGCGGTCTGTTTTCCAGCAAGGTTTCTCTGCCTTTTCATACAGCTTACTATGAGTTTTGCCCTTGCCACCTCGCTCTTTGCTGTACACCTAGCCTCCCAGTTCTTACTCTTTGCTAATTTCTACTTCGTCAGTCCACCACAAAGACTTCTTGGCCTCTTTCCTCTCTCCAGAGGATACAGGAAATACCCTCTTTGCAGTTTGCCTTAGCTTTGGAGATGGACTTTCTTATATGGTAACTCTTCTGTACCACCCAGAGCACGTCTGAACTCCTCCTGACCTCTGTGCAACATTCTTCCTTATTCATCTTCCATCACTTAATCCTATGCTCTGCCTTCACTCAGGTCCTCTTCTTGATCACCAAAGTCATCCTATAGACTATTATCCGATTCTTCTTGCATCATCTAAACCCTCTTTTCTTGTTATAATCATTCCGGTCAACATCTCCCTGCCACCTTGAACAGCTTCTATGACGATCAGCTGTCCTGCCTGATGGCATTATGAGCTACATCTTCTGCTAGTTCTGCCCTAATTGGCCTTCCAAATTCAGCAAATACCTCCAAAACTGTGTAGCGTCACCTTCATTCGTTTAAACAAATTACAAAGTAGTCATCACTGCTTTGACAAAGTGAAACTAGCCAGCCAGGCAGCCCCCTTTCAATTTTCTATTTCAAGATACCCCCCCAGATAAACCCACTAAGCCCTCAGAAGACACTGGTCCATTACCTCCAGCTTGAGAAATCCTAGCATGCTTCACCTTTAGAACCTCTGCTCATTATCAAGTCCCTCCACATTGCTGTCTGATTTTGGCTTCTCTCACACTACCATCAAGTTTGCTCATTGTCCGGCTTTTCTTCCCATCTCTTCTCCAGCTTCTAACCAAGGAATCCAGACTACCTGAATGAGATCATGGGCCACCCGTCATTGTTGCAAATATGTAAGTGTTACACTTACAATCCTGAAAGAACTTCATAATGCAGTCATTGCTGCAGCAGTAAAACATTTCTTTGTCACCACGTTTTCACACATTTCAGGAGATATTTTGGCCCACTTACACTCAAACTCAGGTGTGGGCCCCTGCTGGCACTGTCCTCTCATTGGAGGGCCACTTTAGTGTTCAAGCAGTACAAAAAACCAACCAAGCAAACGTGAAAACACCCACAAATATTTCTGAAAACATAGTTTTTGTTTGTTTTTTAAAATGTCAAATATTGCATAACAAGACAAAACTGCAAACATGAACACAGTGTGTTTTTCTCACTACAGGAGTGAAGTCTGGAGACAGGCTAGGGTACTCCATGTGCTCTTTATCCACGTTTTTGTTGCCGTCACAGTGTGTTTTGGTTCATTCTAATGCTGGAAGACCCATCCACGACCCATGTTCAGTGTTAGGGAACACGAGACTTTCACTACATGGTTGTGTCCATTGGCTTCTCAGTGCGGTGAAGTCATCCTGTACCCTTAGCAGAAAAACAACCACAAAGGATAACGTTTCCACAACCATGCACAGCTGTGGGGATTGTGCTCTTTGGATCATATGCAGCATTTCTCACATTCCCAACATGGCAGGTCAAAGAGCTGCAGTTTGTTTGATCAGACCTCAGCACTTTCTGCCAAGTCTTCTTAAACCATGTAGATATTCACTGGCAAACTTGAAATGGGTCTCAACAAATGCCTTTGTGAGCAAGGGCAAGTGCTGCAAGATTTTAATGCTCTGCCTTCTGATTATTCACACCCCATGAGGCAAGACTTCACAGAGATTTAAAAACAAAAAACCCCTTCAACCTGGCAATTTTGGTTCAGGAGGCCCACCACGGTCCAGTTAAATGTGTGCAGATTTGTGCAATTTCTTAAAGCAATGGAACAACTGAGTAATACATGTAAAAAGGGAAATCAAGTAAATATGGAAACATCAAAATAGCCATTATTTTAACTGAATCCTTGCATCTCTCCCTTCATCTGTTTTCTTACATCTTTATCTGCAGGTAGTCTTTATCCTTCGAGCCTCTACCAGAGGCCTGGGAGCTCCAGGGTCTGCTGTCCTACCCCTGCACTCTTCTGGATAGAGATCAGAGATGTTGTTCCTGGGCTCTACTGGAGCCACTGGCCCAGTTTGGACAGTTCAGACGACCACTGTTGCCTTCATGAGTGTATTTGTTTATCCACCTTGAGAAAACACTTCATCTGTGATTGTTGTTTTTTTTCTTACCACTGTTCCTGCTATGGCGTTACCGCCCATCTCTGATGATTACCATCACCATAGCAGGAAAAAACAGTGGTAAGAACACCCCCCCCCCACTAACTAAGAATAACAATAACATAAATAATATAATGTGTAACATGGGCAGTATTAATGTGTCCCAGTTTTTTTAGCTGCAGTGACAGTTGACATGGCTGTGAGCAGTGTTTCCTACCTGTGTGGGCCTCAGTGGTGCACGGACACAAAATAAACAAATGATTCGTTTTCACGCGTGTTTAATGAATGAAAGATTTACTGTGGTACAATCAAACATTCTGTTACAAAGGTCCAAAATAACAACGGTGTGCTCTTGTTTCTGACACTTGACTCCAGCTGCAGTAAAGACATTCTTCACTACAGAGGAGGCATTAAAGAGTAGAAGTAAAACGTCAGGGATGGGGTCAAATTTACAGACATTACTTTTGGTAAACAGGTTTGATGAACTTAATTGCAAATAATATTGGCAGCTTCCAGCGTCACACCTCATCCTGTAGTAGATGCAGCTGCACTACATACACGGGGAAATCGTCCTGACTTATCACCAAGACTTAAAACTTGACCTCTGACACCGACTTTGAGGTCAGATGTTGAGGTCACCAGGATTCGACCTCATCCAAGATCTTTAGTCGCTGCACCTACGTCACCTGGATCTGCAGTAATCATATTTACAAAAATACACAATCAGCCTTTCACAGCTTGTTTGCTTAATTAAAACTAGCATTTGGCTCTAATGAGTGATGAGGCTCAGCTGCATGAAGCTAACTCGTATTAACAATATTAAAGCCCAGTATTGTAGAGGTGGCATCAGCCGAGAGGAGGGAAGTAGTGATAAAATACTGAATGCTGAAGCTCCGAGTGCCAGCAGTAATGACAGCATCTCCCAGTCTCAGCTGTGAATGTGAACAAAGGTTAAGTGATCTTCATGGAGGAGAACGAGCCTGGAAGCTTGACAGAAACAGATTTCTGATTTACTCACAACAGTTTGTTCATAAGCCTTATGAATTCCTTGACCCAGAGGAAGTTTTAAAAGAAAAACGTTAAAGCAGCAAATCAAAATATCTAAGATGCCAAAGTCAGGTTATCCTTGAGTTTTCCTTTGGACAAAGCAGGAGGCGAGAAGACAAACACAAAAAGAGGCATCAAAGTCCCTTTGACTCACTGCCTCATTCAACAGCTCCCCAAGGTGAGGCATTTGCATTTTCACTTGGTTGCACAGTTCAGCATTCCAGAGCAGTTAATGGAGCTAAAATCAATGACAATCTCAGTCCTCTTGGGCTTGAACTGCCTGTGAAAACACCAAACACACACAGACTGGTCAGAGACGCACCTTTACACACAGAAAATGCTTAAAGAAAAGAAAATGCACCTTTGAAAGATTTTTATTGGCCTCCTACTCTGATAAGTTATAACAAGGTTCATGTAGAGGTTTGTAACCACAAAAATCCATAGTTCAGCTCACAGACACGTCTTGGGATCTTTTTAAGCCACATCGAGCATCATAACTTGGGTCTAGCAGGTGTTCCTGAAACGGCCCCCGAGTTGCACAGGCCTCCCCGAGTCTTGTCTGTATGATGAGCTTTCTAGAAGTGCAGGGTTACGATACTCGTTTGAAACAACTGTGATACAAACAGTGCTGTGGCTGCAGACAGACACAGCTCTTCCCCTCACTAACAGCAGAGTCCAGACTGTAGAGAACTAATCGTAGCAAATAAAGAGTCGAATCCAGAGCAGCACAGCTGCAACTCAGGCCTGAACAGAGAGGCTGCATGCAGGTCTGTACAAGATAATAAAGTTGATCATTTCTACCTTTACGATTATTTATTAGTGTGTTTCTTATTTTGTTGTGACCAGCTGTGTTCTTATCTTTAAAATGCAGGTGTGATCAGTGCATCGTTCACAGTGAGTGCTCTGGTGGGTACCTTTTTATTTTAGTCTAACAGCAGACCTTATCTACAGCTCATTAGATCTTGTTTTAACATATGGCATAGAAACTGAACATTTAACAGTGTTTCCTGAAAACCCTCTCCTGTCTGATCATTTCCTGATAACATTTACATTTACAATAATTGATTACACAGTGGTGGAGAGTAGACGTTTATCACAGTAGATGTCTTTCTGAAAGTGCTGTAACTAAGTTTAAGAATATAATCCACCCACTGTTATCATCTTCAATGCCCTGTACCAACATAGAGCAGAGCAGCTATCTGAACGCTGCTCCAACAGAGGTCGATTATCTTGTTAATAATTTCACCTCCTCACTACGTACGACTCTGGATACTGTAGGTCCAGTGAACACTAAGGTCTCTAATCAGAAGTACCTGACTCCGTGGTATAATTCTCAAACACGTAGCCTAAAGCAGATGACTCGTAAGCTGGAGAGGAAATGGCGTGTCACAAATCTAGAGGATCATCATTTAGCCTGGAGAAATAGTTTGCTGCTTTATAAGAAAGCTCTCCACAAAGCCAGAACATCTTACTATTCGTCACTGATTGAAGAAAATAAGAACAACCCCAGGTTTCTCTTCAGCTCTATAGCCAGGCTGACAAACAGTCAGAGCTCTGTTGAGCCAACCATCCCTTTAACGTTAACTAGTAATGACTTCATGAACTTCTTCACAAATTAAGTTTTAATCATTAGAGAAAAAATTACCAGTAATCATCCCACAGATGTAATATTATCTACAGCTACTCTTAGTACCATTGATGTTAAGTTAGACTCTTTTTCTCCAATTGATCTTTCTGAGTTAACTTCAATAATTACTTCCTCCAAACCATCAACGTGTCTTTTAGACCCCATTCCTACAAAACTGCTCAAAGAAGTCCTGCCATTAATTAATGCTTCGATCTTAAATATGATCAACCTATCTCTAATAATCAGTTATGTACCACAGGCCTTCAAGCTGGCTGTAGTTAAACCTTTACTCAAAAAGCATCTCTAGACCCAGCAGTCTAATTATAGGCCAATCTCCAACCTTTTTTGCTTTAGTAAAAAACAAACAAACAGTTAAATGTGTAACTTCTTTACACTGACAGAAAAGAGTTTCACTGGTCTGGCCACCTTAGGATCAAAGTGAGCTGTTTGTGGTTGTAAAATGTAAAATGACTTTGATCCCTCTGGTCTATAGGGTTGGTGAAATCTTGATTTGGTACTTTCTTGGGATCACCAGCAGGTGGAGCTGTGGCTGCTCTGCACACCCTTGATCCTATTTTTCAGCCGTTCATCCCAGCTGAGGAAAACGACACGTTTCTCCCGCTGAAACAGGCGCTTTACTTTTCTTTACATCTTCTTTTCCCTTTAAATCAAATACATCAATCATCCTTTTCTGACCTCCATAACAATTCCAAACCTTTCACCACATTTTCACTTGCACAGTTCATTTGTTGTGCTCCCTTCCATGTCTGTCCGCTTAGTTCTCAGATCTGTTGGTCCTTTGTTTATACTGACTTATTGTAAGTCAACACGTCTAAAAGATAGCTGTTGTTGTTAATTGGGGCTATGTAAATAAGCGTACTGTATGTCTTGATGCATGCTCAGTCATCCAGGTAAATCCCACAGTTTGATTGTGTTCATCTGGACGCAGCGCTGTCAGAGGGAGAAACCTCTCGTCACTCATCCAATTTACAAATGCAACCTGAATTTTGTGAATTTGCAGAGTTCTTGGTAACTTTGTAAAGCAATCAAATAGAAATAGAACAAAAATACACCCACTTTAGCCTCTGCACTCAAGAAATGTTTTATTGCAACTGATATAAAATCTGAAGTTTAAGATTTGGATGCAGTTCCACTTACTCGTGCTATTGGATTTAGCATGCATCTATTGGGCAGTCTCAACTACAGTCACAGTATGACAACATTCACAGAGATTTTTCTCTGTACTGAATGAAGGAGGAATTGTGTGAAATTTAGGTGAAGCACCATCATCACAACAACTTTTAAGAACAAGCACAAGCTTTCGTTTTGCTATTTGGCCATAATATCTGCAGCAGTGGGATTCTGCAAGCATGGAAAAGCTTCCTGATACATCCTGAGTTACAACATTCTGAAAGTGTCCGAGACAGACTACTGCAGAAACGTAACCACCGCCTGGCCTGAATTCAGTCTCTGGTCCGGAGTAGTTTGGCCGTACTTAAGGCAACAAAGCATCAGTTTCTCCTTCTAGACTAACGTGTAACTTACCTGCACTCGATCTTTGCCATACTGAGCAGCCTTCTGGAAGCAGTCATTTCAGGTGTGTCATGGTACTTATCAGAAAGATACACCACCTCCTTCAGACCTGGAGAAAGTGAGGGAGGGGTCATAAATTAATCTTATTTGATATTACAGAGGATGGAATATTGCAAATCAATTAAGGTTAATTGATTAAACACTAAGTAACAGACACACCGATGAGGGTTTAACACTTTTTAAATATACACGCTTTTCTGTTCCAAAGGACTGACCCACTCTGCAGCCTGATGTAGCAGTGAATCACATTCTTAAATGTAAAAAAGGCCATCTATGTCCACTGTGAATGACCATTATTGAACAGAGGTGGTGGCCACAACCCACACTCACACTTTGCACCAGGTTACATCGTGTATGTCAAGTTTATTTATAAAGCACATTTAAAAACAACCAAGGCTGACCAAAGTGCTGTACAAGAAAATACAAATATAAAATACAATAAAACACAAGTACATAAAACACCTCACTGATAAAACAATAAATTAAAACAATAAGTTAAACCTTGCTAAAAGCCAATGAGAAGAGGTGAGTTTTAAGAGCAGTTTTAAAAGTTCCTAGGCTTGTGGAGAATCACAAGCGTGAACCTTTAATCTGACAAGTAAGTCAGGTGATAGGATGTGGCTCACCTGAAACCCCTGGAGGTGGTAGTAATAATAATAATAATAATAATAATAATAATGGATTGCATTTATAGCGCTTTTCGAGACCCTCAGAGCGCTGTACAATTCCACTGTTCATTCAGTCTCACATTCACACTGGTGGAGGCAGCTGCAGGTGTAGCCACAGCTGCCCTGGGGCAGACTGACAGAAGCGAGGCTGCACCACCTCCGGTCAACACCAGCAGGTGGTAGGTGAAGTGTCTTGCCCAAGGACAAAGACAGACAGAGCTGGGGATCGAACTGGCAACCTTCCGGTTACAAGATGAGCTTCCCAACCCCCTGAACCACGGTCGCCCCCTACGCCCTCTTATCACACCTTGGCTCATATGATAACACTGATGACTAATAGATGGTCAGCGACCACTGGGGTTTAAACACTGTTGGTTTGAAAACAGCCTCTCGTCCTCTTGGATGAGAGGCTGTTTTCATCTTCAAAAAACCTAAAGAAGTCAAACTGCCTTCCTTTCAAGCTCCTAAGACGACCACATCCTGGGTGACCGAGTACCTGCACAGACAGCAAATCGCATTGTTATTATAATTTATGTCTTCTCTGAGCAGTCTAAATCATCTAGAACTAAATGAAAATGTGAATAACTGGGTGGTCTTTGAAACAAATAGGGGGAAAGATGTTGTTCTCACGATGTGGTCAAGCATGCTGCAAACACTGGTACTTAGAAAATGTGCCAAGAAGAGGCAGAAAATGAAAGCTGACTGAAACAGATGCCACACACCTCAAACTTTTAAGTACTGGGAGAGAAAAGAAGATTACTGCTACGAAGAAGTCTTAACTAGTCTGAGAAGATTTTCAGAATGACCATAATCAGACAACTGAATGAACAAGGCTGAAAAAGGAAGAATAGCTGCTAAGAAGCAGCGACTGAGCATTAAGGAGGTCAACAAATGTACAGGAAGACTTCAGATCTGTCAGGGAGCTGCAGGTGACTGCAACTAGGTACTGTTCCTGTGCACGCACACACACACGCACACGCACGCACACACGCACGCACGCACGCACGCACGCGGGGTTACATTTCTGGAAACAACATGGGGAAATTTGTGAAAATTGACATTGTCTACGACAGCATCTTGTTGCATCATGGAAACCCTTCTGGACTGTTGTGGGCACCAACAAGACAAAGGCCACAAGCAAACTTTAAAGCGACGCCGAGCTTAACTAACCAAGAAAAAGTAACTTTGATTCGGACAGTCCGTCAGTTCAAGTACTCAAGTGTGGACTTTAATTCCACTGCACACTTTTGGGATTTGGTGGATTTGGATGGATCACACAAAGTTTCATCCAAAGCAGGTCGATGGGAACAGCTAGAAACCTTTTGTAAGTCACTAACAAAAGAGCATCACAGCAAGTACAAGAGCAATGCCAGAAAACATGCAAGCTGTTATCAAAGCCGAGAGAGGCCATAAAAATACTGTTTCTAACAAGTTTCTTTGTAGAATAATAGCTGGGCACAAATGGAAATGTGCTTTAATCACAATTTTTTAAATAGTTTTGACTCTACTTGACAACATATTTTAAATCAGTCATTATGGGATGGAGGTGTGGACTTTTAACTGAATATATAACTCTTACAAGGGACAAGTCACAGAAAGACAAATACAGTCGTCTGACTTTGTTGGGTGTCTGCTAGATTTGTTATTCAGACAAACTGGTGATGGCTAACCAATCAGACCATAATAATCCATTATTATTATTATTATTATTAAAAATGAAGTGAGTTCTGCCAACATTGGCGGCTGTGACTCCTAATATTATTACCTGGACCTTCATGAATCAGTATGAATGTAGAAACAGTTACAGTGTGTGCTGTTAATACTCACCTGCCTGAATAATGAGCTTGGCACACTCATTACAGGGGAACAACGCCACATACATGGTGCAGTCCTTCACATCAGCACTGTTCTTATTCATAATAGCATTCAGCTCTGCGTGGCACACTGTGAGACACGACATCGAAACAAACCTCAGTCACTAAAACACACTGCAAGTTTGATAGCACTTCATCATGTAGCCTCTGCTGCCCCCAACTGGCCAAACGTTTGAAAATTTTCCACCCACTTCCATGATCACAGGTGCATAAAATCACACACAGATAAACATCTGTGAAAGAATGAGTCGCTCAGGTGTGAGGGCAGATGAACAGATACTTTTGGCAGTATGGTGCAAATGTAGATAGGATTTGGTTTACTCCAGACATTCTCCCACACATAAGGTGGATGAAAGCAGGAGTGCTTTGTTACTTTAATGCACCAAATACACCATTTTAAAACAAGCTGTTGTAGAAGAAAGCAAAAATGACAGTGTGCATTCTCACCATAAGGGTATTTAGTGTCAAGCCGGTCATCAGCAGAGCGAGACCATGGCAGCAGGTCATCATTACAGCCATTAGGCATACCATTGTAACCGATGCCCACTATCTTATTCTCCTGGTTCACTATACATGCTCCCACCTGTGAGAGACACCGAGACAGAGGGACATAAAGAGAGGGACACACACAAAGAACTGATTCCTATATTTATAAAAACAAGACCATCAAATTAAAATTATTATACCACCACGTCCTATTTTACAATAATGCATGCCCCAAATTCGCTCCCTGACAGACTTTCTAATATTCAGCTCACCTTAAATTTGTGTGTGTTTTCTCTTTCTTTCATCTGCATATTTAAATTGGGAGGAAATACAATTTTTGGGGCACGTTCAATTTTTCCCTGTTTTTCTTTCCTTCAGAGTCTGAGTAACTGTGTTAAATAATCATTACATCAACAGTGAACATCACATCTGAGCAGGCCTAAACCTTGTCTCCCTGTTTTTGGACAGCAAGAGGAAACAAACTAAACTAGGATTGTGCGAAGACAGCTTGACAATGAAGGTGACGTTTGACCGTTTTCACATTAAACTATTGCATTAGAAACGTTCCTGCTAATACATTATATTTTAACACAATGGGAGATTGTGCCTTTCGGCCGGCCTGGGAGCTCCTCAGTGTCCTCAGACAGCTGGGGAGAGATGAGCGAGCAACCACACATTCTCATGCCAACATGCAAATGACAACAACAACAGTAAACTCATAGTAAAAGACTCTTCTAAACCTGAACCACACCTCAGTTCTGTACACCAGAAATTTGGATATGAACTCATAGTAAAGTATCTGTTTCAGCCCTGACAAATAAGCAAACGCAGACGTACCTGGGAGCTCGGGTCTTTGCTTCTTTGTGCTGACAGAAAAGCCACAGCCATGAAGTACTCTGGCCACTCAAGGTAGTCCTCTCTTTTCTTGGTTTTGCCACTATAGAGAAAAAACCCAAGAGATTTATGAAGTTATGTGAGAGAAAACAAAAACTGTCCAATTCTGGTTTAAGGGACTTCACAGCTTTGTGAGCCGTCACTCTGGTACCTCACCATCAATGTTACGATTCAGTTTGTGTTATCTGATGTGTACATTCGTATGTATTAATTGATGAGCTGCCAAAACAATCATTTACATATAAACACCACAGAGTCTCCTGAGTAGAAGCTCAATGTGCATAACCTTTAGTAAAAGCTTGAACATAATGGTTTTCAGTATCAGCACTTGTAACAAGACTGATACTATTCAGATATACACCAATTAGTCACAACATTAAAACCATGTCACTAATACTCTGTAGATCTTCCTCCTGCCCCAAAATCAGCTAAGCTGTCAGAGTATGGAAAGAGTGGACACAGTGCCTGTTGTGTCTGGCACTGGGATGTTGCTCTGGCTGCCCTCTGCAGCAGTTTACAGGGATGGTAGGGTGCCAGCGTTAGTGTCCAACAGACAATGACAACACTGAGAGTTTTTAATTATATTAAAAGATGAATAAGAATTGTATTACTATTTAGTATTGCACATTATTTTTTTAATTAACATTATGAATAATAAAAATAATATTTCCCCCAAAATGACTCACATAAGCCCCCTGACAAACAAACCTCTGTACTGAGCCACAAACGATAACACAAACTACTGAGAGCCACGGGGCTTATGTTTGGAGAAACAAGGGCCAGATGTGCAACCAAAGAAAACTGTCCCAGCAGAGAAAAAGCAGAGGCGGCAGTGTTAGGCTGTGGGAGATACTTCCTAGTGTCTGGAAAGAGGGAACTCATCGAGGTGGAAGAAATCATGAAGACAGAAGGATAATGGGAAGATGATGAAAGCTTTAAGCAGTCAACAGCAAAACTGGGTCTGTTGTTGCAACAAGGACCAAAACATGTGTCGATCTCGGAAAACTCCACTTCAAGCGAGACTAAACAGATAACCTGGAGTACAGGAAGTGTATTTGGGACTGACGTCACTCCCGATTATCGTGTTTGAGAGAATAAATGTAGAAAAAACGGGATTTAATTTGGTTCTCGGCAAGGTATCACTGGGAGCAGCATAATACTTTGCGCTTATCAGGAATAGAGCCTCTGCACACGGTGAGTCAAAATCCACAACAGTGCAGATTAAAGGTTCACGCTTTTACTATTGGATCGGTAACTTGGGGTATGTTCCGACCTTTTATGCAATTTTTTTTTTGGCATTCCACAAAATCTCTCCAACTGGGAACTTCCGGCGATGCAGGAACGCACCATAAAACTCGAAACGTCACTAACAGCCCAGTGAGACAGTTTTACGACCTCCGAGCATTAAAAATAAATGTGAAAAACACTGTGACGGACTGATAAATGAAAGACATTGGCTCAGGGTGGAACATATACTAAAACACTACGTAACAGCGCACCACAAGCGGACAGACTCAGCTGCTTCTCGGTGGAAATCCGAGCCTTTCCCGTCACGTGTAGAGAAAGGTTACCTGTTTAAACTAGAACGCTGTTGGGTTTCTTCCATATTGTAACAAGTAACTGGTATAAATCCCTCTGACAACGGCAGCCTTTGTTGATACCGCACGATGGTCGCTACGACACCGTGAACCACGTCACAACACAGGAAGAAATCTCCCGCGCTTAAGGCCGGACTGTGAGGAGTTTTTCTGCCCTGACTTTTGCTTCAAAGGACTGCAGCTTCTTCGGTCACAGTGGCGGATCGAGAAAGTCTTACAGGGGTGGGGCAGGGTGGCATATACGTCGTTGGTAAAGTACGTGAAAATCACCTATATGTAAATGGAGCCAACAAAGCACTTTAAAACTATTTATTATATCATTCTCTCCACAGCAGAGGCGGAGCCAGACATTTGAAACACCTGGGGCTTAGCCCAAAGAGTAGTATGCATGTGGGATTTTTTTTTTTTTTTGGGGGGGGGGTAGAAATGACTAAAAGATTAATAGGCTCTGTTCAAAAAAGAATGACTTCATATAGGGAAAAATATATATCACATGTGCAGGACACCTTAAACTAGTTTTTTGATTAAGCAGCAAAGCAGAACAAAGTCAGGCTGTATCAAGACATGAGGACTAAACCCCAATTCAACCAGACCCAGAACTGATCCAGAATTAAAACAGGACTACAACAGTTCAAAATCAGGACTACTGAGGACTTAACCAAGACAGAACCAGAATCAGAACTAGATGATAGTAGCACTAAAAATCATCATAGACCTGCACTACACTTATTTTTTAATTCTACCAAAGTCCACTATTTAGATTCAGAAAAGTTTATATAATTATTTAGCCTTGTTGTGCAAACAAGCCTGCATAACTTAATAAATATAGAATTTGAAAAATAACAAACCTAAAAAGAAACACTAGGTACGAGATACATGAGGACCTATGATACGCTGATACTTTTGGTAAACAACCATTTGACTAACATGTGTGTCTCACCTGCTCCTGTTCATCTGTTCTGTCCTCATTCTCCTCTCTCTCCCTCTTTGTGCTGACAATCATCAAATATACAGTTGAAACCAGATATTTACTCTTCAGATAAAAACACTTTTTTAATTGTAAGATCAAATCAGACTAAATGTTTATTTTTTTAGATTGATAAATATAAAAACATATTTGTTAACTTTAAGAGTAAAGAGAGAAATTATCTGTATTTCTTAATTGTAAATGGCACCAAATTGTATTCAAAATTGAGCCACACTTATGGAGCTCCACAGTTCTGTTCCTGGTGTTTTGGTTGACATCTCTTGATTTTCCCATGCCACAGAAACAGGCTCTGTGTTTTGCCTTATATGCATCCACAGCTGTGCCACCAGTTTACTCACATGGACTCTACTAACCTATCAGAAGCTTCTTCAGCTCAGAATGGAATCATCTGGTTTTCTTATTAATTAACAATAAACTTAGTGTATGTACTCCTAAATTTGATGAAAGTGATAAAAAATAGAAGCTCTGTCTCTCTTTATTCTGACATTTAACTAATTCAAAATATATTTCAATATTTATCTAAAACAAAAATTTACTCTAAATTGATGTTGTACAGTAAAAATGTTTTATGTTTTCTCCCTAAAGTGTAAATATCTGGTTACAAATGTGAATATCCTGCTGTGTACTGAAACCCCTCTTGTTTTGCATAGAAATATACTGAACAACATACAAAGCATAATATATAAAATAACATTTACCTGAGTTTTTTCTTTGAAAGAAGCCTCTAATGGCCATTCTTATATTTCAGTACATAACTGAAACCGATTTAGTCGGGGAGGGTAAGAACTGAAAATATGAAATAAACACACGTAAGCTAAGACTCTAAAAAAATAGCATTTGTTCGGCTTTTCATTTCGCCATTTGTTGATTCCCTTGAAGAGCAAGTAACGTAACATGGGTCAAGTGATCAGTTTGATATCAATCTTTCGTGATGCACCGTCATATTTACATTATTTGTACAGTACGAATGATTTGCTTTGGTACCTGGTCAAACTTAAGCTCTCCTTAGTATGGCTGGCTCCGTCTCTCCAACAGCGCACTCACAGGCAGCAGCTGCCCCGCCCCTCGCTCAGTCGCTTAGTGCCTGAGCTTGGATCATACCAATATCAGGGGGGATTCACGCACAGTCGTAAATTCCCACAGTGTGCACTATGTGCTTCGAATATTGTGTGTACTTTTTGTTTTATACAGTTGTCAGCCAGACATCTAACTATGAAAAAAATTACACTCCAAAATACCCCGGGCTTCTGACAAAACAACCCGGGCTTAAGCCCAGTAAGCCACCCCCACGGTCCGCCCCTGCTCCACAGCAGGCTGAAGAGTCTCCTGTAGACCCGCCCACATGTAACTCACACTGGGTTGATTGTGTTAGAGGACAGGACAGTGCTCTTCCTTGATAATTATTCACACAATGACCATATGACACATTTATAGTAAGTTTAACATTAATGACGTTTCTTATTGGCCAAAGGTCCTTGTACCCCCTCAACTGAACTGTACAGATCCACTTCTTTGAACTATGACATTCAGTCATAATGAAAACGATAAACACCCACATCACTAATTACTTGAGCTCAAGCTCTAAGAACATAATTAGAAGGTTAACAGCTGCCATATAAAGAGCAGCACTTGTGAAGTACACTTCATGTCTGTTTGGCACTAACAGGTCATTCATCAGCTTGTGCAGCTACACTATAGAGATAAAATTCAGGTATTTGCAGTCAACAAGCTACAAGGGTATAAAAGTGGCTCATTCTAAGGAGCTCTGAATTCTGAGCACGGTAACGTAATAGCATGGCACCTTTGCAACAAGTCCCTCTCTCCTATATTCTGTGACCAGCTGTAAGTAGTATTACTGCAAAGTAAAAGAGTTCAGGAAGCCCACCAAATCTGTAGCCAAACGTTAAAGAGGGAGGGTCACTGACTGATGAACTCATGGTGCACCAGGACCTTTATTAAGACAAAAGTAACAAAAACATCATGTGAAATCACAATTTTCCATTTTAGTGCTGGAACTGGTGACACCAGCAGACTCTTGTATGCGAGGCTCTCCCAGAGCGCTCTGTTTCTGGTGGAATGCCGTTCAGTCGGACGCAGGTCAGGTGACTGATAATATTCAGTCTTTACCCTAAAAAGCTCTTTGTCTGAATCGTTGTGCTGATAACTTTCTGTTGATGCATTGAGCTGACTGTGAGTGCTCCGGTTTACATCTCTGCATGAATTATATTGATGCTGTCAAACCTTTTACTCCCTTTGATATCTCTGTCTGTTTGTTAAGCCTCACTATTTTTCTCTGATTAAACTCATTAATGGGTGGATATGTACCTGTATAATAAGTATACAGTATACTAAAGTATAGTAAAGCTTTAGTGCACTAAAGCTTTGAGTGTTATTATTCAGTGTGTTGTGGATGATTCAGTGTGCAACAGACTGGAGGTGCTCTTCAGCCTGCAAATCTCACAGTTAAAGAAGTATAACTGCATCAAAACAGCTTTACACTGAAAATCAGGCTGCTTCTACTGCAGAAGTACAATCGGGTACTTACAAGTTGGCAACGTTTTGTATCCCGTCAGTAGCCCATTTACACTCTTCCTAAACAAACAAACAAACAAACAAACAGCAGGTTAAGAAATAAACACTTCAATTTGGACACCTTGGAAAGTTTTCTGTTTTCAAATGACACAATCTCAAACACACACACACACACACACACACAGGTGATGGCAAAGCTGCGTGTAGCCACAGCCACCCTGGGGCGCACTGAGGAGAGGCTGCTGGACACTGGTGCCACCGGGCCCTCTGACCACCACCAGTAGGCAATGGGTGAAGTGTCTTGCCCAAGGACACAAGGACCGAGACTGTCCGAGCCGGGGCTCGAACCGGCAACCTTCCGGTTACAAGACAAACTGCCCACTCTTGAGCCACGATCGCCCAAATAAATAAAATCCAGGAATAATGTTCTCAATTGGTCAGTAAATGGTGATTTCCTACCAAGTTTGGTCTACAAAATAAGTTTCTGTAGTGATAGCAGAGATAAGCCAGAAGTCGTCCTCATACGCCCAAATATGGGCCTTGTACCAGGAAGCAAGTTTAACATACCCAGGGTATCTTTTTGTTCTGGATTCACTGACACTAACATCAGCAATCACGGTGAATGGTCACATGAAGCTGGTTATCAACCTGTTAAGTTACCCTGGCTTTCCTAATCTAGGTACACGCACGTGCAAGGGGTGACACTGGCAACATCTGACCAATCCCACTGAATACTGAGCAGCAGCTTTAAATGTGTCAGACAGTAAGACTGGAAAAAATCTACTATAAAGAAAGAAAAGAAAAGCTGGCAAAAATGCCAACAGACTTATTCCATTAAATGAACGTTTAAATTAGCATAAGACAGTTTTGTATTTTTTAGCTGCATCTCAGATGGTGTTGAACAGTCTGATGGAAAGCATAAATATAAAAACATAATTAAGTGTAAATTTATTCTATTTGCGACTGATATAAAGTACAATTAGGTGTCCTGAGACTTAATTATAGGCAGTGATTTAATGATTCCACAAAATCCCAGAACACTCCATGTTAGTGACTGAGCAAAACTACAAACATCTCAAATGAATTTTCCTAAACGACTGTGTGATTTCTACCATATCATGTTGAGGTTTCTCTTTAGATACGTGTCACTGTGACTCGCAGCCAAAGAAGTCGTGGAGGTGCCAGCAGGTCTAAATGAATGGTACTTAATTGCATAGACAGCATAACAGAACAGAATTTAAAATAATAACACAAAATTTAAAGTATGGTTAACTCATTCCAATCATGAGAAAGCTTGAAAACATAAGGTTTTCAACTCAGCTTAATTACCTTTTTTTCCAAATTACTCAGTGCACAAACAGTCAAGAAGGTCACATGTCTACACTTTGGTCTATTACGACTACAACACAGGACAGATAAGGAGCAAATTACTCACCTTTGAAGGATCAATTGTGTAACTGGAAGCATGTGATGAGGTAGACGACTGGCATGGCTGTGTATTGTGCACCTAAAAAAAGACGAGAAGGCAAAAGGAGATGCAACTAAAATGGCCATTTTTAAACCATTTGGGTAAACTGGTTGCAGATTACCAATCGTTTAGAAAAGGTGGTTTAATTTAATCTGAAAAAGCCGATTCACGAGGTCCTGATTCGATTCAATTAAATTTGGATATGCACTTATAAATGATCAGAATTATAATATATTTCCTGTCTATGTATAAAACCAAAGCTGACACTGTGAGACTTCATCAGAGGTGTGAGCATCACAGCAGAGGCCTTTGTGTCAAAGTGACTGAGGATCAAACAGAGAAACATGAAGCAGATTTTCCTGGATTGGCTTTTTATAGCAGATAATCTTAAAAATATTCTGCAGTAGAACAAAAACGTAAGAAAACCATCAATCAGCATCTGAACATGACCTGATGCTGCTGAAGTGAAGCAGAGCAAAGTTAGAGGTTTGATTACAGACACAGCTGAGAGTTTTGCAATTTGGCATCAAGTTTACATTTGTTCGATATAAATTTGATTTGAATCAGGAAATCAATGTTTTAAACCCACCCCTAATCAATTGCCACGTATCAACAGAATTACAGGGAGAAAAGCAGACGTCACAGCATGTGCACACACCTACCTCTGTATTTCTCTGTTCGAATTTTGTTTCCAACAGCAGGACTCTGCTTATCAGCTTTTCCCAGCTTTCTCTGGATACGGTGACGACTTCTCCCACATTCTGGAAAAGAATATGATAATTACAGAAAAGAAGCGCTCGGGTTATTCTCTTTCCTGTTGTCTATCAGAGAGAAGACTAAAACAAGACTAAAGAAAGGGCAACATATTTTAAATAAGTAGGGAGTATCTTAGCTTTGTCTGTTTTCCTGCCTTGCTCCAGGCGTTTCTCCAGAATACTGACCTTGCTGAGGCCAGACACTGCATAGCTGAGCTTTTGTTACCATCCCTGAGTTTGGACCCAGTGTTTTCAGTTGAACGTTTTTCAATATTGATATTTTAAGCGAAGTAGATGAGCGCTTTCTCATCTACTTCAGTTCTGGGTTTTAGTTTATTTTGCATCCTTAGGGTCCCCAATGAATCTTGTTTCCACTGTGGTCCCTGTGCTTCTGTAGCTTTGTCTGTTTGTGATTCCATGTTTTGTTACTTCCTGTACTTAAGTAGGCTTTTGTCTCCTGTGCTTCAATGTCCAGTTTAGGTCCAGTTGCCTTGTCATGCCTTATTTGTTCCCTTTGTGTCCCTCTGTAGTTACTCTCATCTCCTCAGTCAGTCATGTGTCCATGTATTTTGACCTTTTGTCTGTGTCAAGTAAGCATATGAATGCTCAGTTGTTCTCCCAGTGTCTCCCAGTTTGTTCCTGCCACTCTTCTTCCTTGTCCTCATCACCTGCCATGTTTCTATTGTCTCCATGTGTGTTCTTTGCTGTGTGACTCCTTTGCTACCTAGTGCCATGGTTTTCTCTAATTGCCTAGTGTTCTGTATTCCTGGCTCCAGTGAGCTCTTTATTTTGCATTTCTGGAATGTCACATGCAATAAAGCCGTTTTTGAGTTCAGGTTTTGCCTCTCGAGACCTGCATACTGGGTCCAAAACCTGTCTGCCATATACACCACTCATGGTGTTGACATGTGTTCAACCTACCCTGAACATATCCTCAGACTTTCATGGCTATTAAACTTTGAGACGCACTGAATCTTTTAAGATTTTTTGACATCATTTGTTAAAGAATGTCCAGTATATTGGACATGATACACCCACCCTGCTAGGGAAAACAATGTGCATTTCCCGACTGGTTGTAAGTGACTGCGGGAGGTGACGGTAGCAAAACTTCAGAAAGTGTGACACAAGCTTCAAAGTGAAAGAGCTGTACCCAACATCTCTCAAAGCACAAATGGTCTCAGTTTCCAATTTGCACTTTCCACAGATTCATTATAGCTTGGAGAGTTGCCAGCGAGTGTTTATAAATAAATTTGTTACTTACGGACAACTATGGCAACTATGGGGCGATCGTGGCTCAAGAGTTGGGAGTTCGTCTTGTAATCGGAAGGTTGCCGGTTCGAGCCCCGGCTTGGACAGTCTCGGTCGTTGTGTCCTTGGGCAAGACACTTCACCCGTTGCCTACTGGTGGTGGTCAGAGGGCCCGGTGGCGCCAGTGTCCGGCAGCCTCGCCTCTGTCAGTGCGCCCCAGGGTGGCTGTGGCTACAATGTAGCTGCCATCACCTGTGTGTGAATGGGTGGATGACTGGATATGTAAAGCGCTTTGGGGTCCTTAGGGACTAGTAAAGCGCTATACAAATACAGGCCATTTACCATGCTTGCCAACAAATCAATCACACGGTGCTGTTTGCCAACTGGTGAGCGAATCACAGGTCTGTCTGACCGGGGCTTTACCAGAGATGTTCCCATCAACCTCGAGTAACCACTTGCAATTGGTCAGGGAGTACCCAGTTTCCCCCTCACAACCAGTACTTGCCAGATGGCCACTGACTATCGTCAAAGCCTGTGTGATTTGGGCCTTATTCATTTTATTCTAAATTATCATCACGATTTTCACGGGTGGAGACAAGTTAATGTCACATGGTTAGCAGTCACGTGTTAGTAAAATCTCAAATAACCAACATCTGTCACAGGAGTTCACTAACATGGAGGCTGTTGTCCTTATCCTCTTTTCCTGGCAGCTCTGCAGCGTCACTGCTGGAAGAATCAGGGGAGTGTACGTCACCAGAGGCACATGTTCCATTATACAAGGACAATGGTTCAGTATGGGAGGAGTTTGTGGGAGATGTCATAGGATTTTCCATGTGATGTATGACAAATGACTTCCTGGATACCTAAAATAGATAAAAACACAACGATCAGCTGTTAATGTTACATTATTATCGTCACGCCTCTCTGTAAACGTGATCCTCCAAACATCTGTGAACGGCTTTCAGTTAACAAAGACATGACTTTCTTTGAGTGCCTGTCGCATTGAGTAAACTGCATCACTGATGTACAGTTGTGTACAATGCTATGCCATTCTCTGGACATCAGCTGGTCATGTACGACTTCACACCAGACTTAGGTGCCAGAGCATTCGACTCTGGGCTACAGGACTGCTGTATGGTAACCGTTTCTCACACTGTGAGGTGGAACTATGGGCTGTGACTGATGAAGCTTCCAAAGTCCACAAGAACACACAAGTACGCATATTGATAAATGGCCCACGAGTGGGGTTGAGCTGTACCATACAGTGGAAGAAATGCATATGTACTTTATTGTTACCATTTTTTAAACTGGCAAAAACAAAAAAAAGCACATGGGTGGCAGTTCTGTTTTATTTTTTAACTGGCAGGTCCACTGGCACGATTATTCAGCAGCAACCACCCCATCTCATGTCCATAATTTGTCTCTTTTTTCCACTGCTGGAGAATATCAAGGCAGCTCTCTGATGTTATGAAATGTATTGAATGCCAATGAAGTAAATGACAGTGTATTTGACCACTTTAGCACCTCTGCTGTTTTCTGTGTGGCTGCAAACTGTGGTACAAATGGTATTTCTATTTATCACTGTGAGAACAAACAAGTCTGACTTTTAAAAGTCAACACACTTGTATTTGGTTCAGAAAAATCATCAGAAACATTCTTAATATTAGACTTTTTTGGCCTAATATATTCATCCTATACTACATATGATTTGTGGTGAGTATGTAACAGTTATAGTTTAATGTAGTAACTAATAATCAGTACATTACACTGCTGTGTTACACTGTTACTCAGCTGAATTGTGTGTGTCTCAGTGGTTTGTCCTCTGAGCCATTCAAATGTTTTGGGGGGGTTTTTTCGGGGCTATTTTCGGGGCTTTTCTTTATTTCTTTCACTGTCCTTTCTTTACTGAGACAGGACAGTGAAGAAAAGACGGGAAAGCTGGGAACGAACAGGGAGAAGACACAAGAAATGGCCTCAGGAAGGATTCAAACCTTTGCCTCTCCAGTAGGCGTGCAGCATATGGGTCACCTACTTGAACCAGTGAGCTATACTGGTCCCTGTGGAGATCCTGTTCAGAGTAGTTAACAGTATTTTTTACTCAGGAATAAAACATTGAGCAACTCTCTGTACCTTTGGATATTATTATATCTTGTGACAAGTCATATATTAAATGTTTGCTTTGAGAAACTTGGAGTGAGAAATGACTGGTGTAACACAGTGTGCCACTTGTGACCCAGCAACAAACACAAACTCAAACACACTACAGAAACTTCTGGAACAAGCGCTCTCCATTTGAGGCAAATACATGGAAATAAAAACAAATGGCAGGTTTCGTACCTTCTTCAGCTGGCTGTGTTTCTGCAGGACCAAATTAATAATGTCACAGATGACAGAGATTTTCCTTTGAGAGAAGCCCCACTGCAGGAACTGCTGCTTGGTCAGCAAGGGCTTATACTGGAAGATATCTCGTAACACCTTGACAGACAAAACGGAGACAGGAAACACACTCACAAAGCTGGACACATTGTTACAGGACTGAATGGACTTTCTTATAAAGCACTTTTCTACTGTAAATGGGATTAAAAGTAGAGAGAGCGGGCTCGCTGTCTGCTCTTTGGTCAGATGGAGGCAGTGTACACAGTACGTGCTACAGCCAGTCTGTGTGTACTCCTGCTGTTGCTGGTCCACGATGAAGAGTGAAGCACATACTGACAGTGATGAAGAGTGAAGCACATACTGAGCTGAAGTGTTGAAAACAAAAAGATCTAAACTGCAGTCTTTGCTGTGCTTTTCATGCTTTATTTTTTGGTGTTTGCTGTTTTTTAGCACTTCTTTCGTTCCCAGTGAACGTTATCATTATTGGATTAAAACACACATGACATTATCGAGCAATGCTACATTAGGCTTGTGTTTAGGAATGGGCACGCTATAGCTCTATTAGCTATCCCTTGTGTAACATATGTTAACACTGTATGTAAACCCTTTAATTTCATATCTATTCTTTACATACCTGGTCAACAAACCTTTTCTCTGCACCCTTGCTTGTGACCATGGCTAGCTTTCCTTACTTTGGCTTGCCTTCCTTAAAGTGTAGCGTGTGAAAGTATAATATCTACACATGTGGAAAATACTGGCAGTGACCAGTGGTACCGCTCAGCATCCTCGTAGATACACCTACAGCATCAGTTTCAATACCCTACATCACCCTGCTCTCAAGTGATCTCATTCACACGATTTTCAGAAACCGTGACCTCTGACCTGGAGGTAGACATCACTGATATTCAAACTTGTCCAAGGTTTTGGTAGAAGGGTGACGACAACACCCCACCAGCTTTTTACTACTGAGAGGTAAAAACTACTGACAAACGATGTTGTATTATTTTAAATGTGTCTCACATTATCCTTACAAATACCAAGCTACAGCCACAGACAGCTTTGTGTCAGTGTTTAGCCTCCTGCTTGCTGCAGCGCTCTGACATCATCAGATCTACTCTTCAGTGCAATGAAATTATAAGAGCTGTTCTTATCTATACACCTTTTCCTAATATTTAGCATTTCTTTATATTTATTTTTTTCCTTTCAGTAATAACTGCTTTCCTCACACAACAAAAGGCTAACTGTGTGATTACTGAACGTAACATAACTCAATGAATGAAGCATGACAGGATTTGGAAACAAACAACAAGGTGAACCAGATAAATGTTCTGTGTTGTAACTAATGTGGGTGAGTTCCTCATGCTTTTCATTCCCTATACCAAACATACTGTTTCTTAAGTCTGTTTGTGTGCATCCTTTATTCCTGTTGTTGCATCCCCGTAACAATGTTTAATCACAGAAATAGGCCTCACACAGAGTAACACAAATAGACCCATTTTCTTGGCAATGGTAGGTCAACACTTTTAGGTCAATACCATCTTTGAACGGTTGTCATATAGTGCTCTGCAAAACTCTTAAGCAATCCTTCATTTCTTTCTTATTTTTTATTCCAATAAGCTTCTGTTCATTTCTTAACAGTGGTCTTGAGTAATAGTTCCTGAGGCCTTTTTCTTTGAACGTTGGCGGCTTTTTCATTCATTTCCACTCAAGTCCTTGTATCTGACCATTTTCAGAAGAATGGTTTTTCTTTGTTAAGCCTCTTAACACCAACCTGTAAATCACTCGAGCATAAAAAGCGGCCTAACTCGAGGGATGAACCAGTGCTTTGTCAACATATAACAGAAACAAAGAATCAAACTTAAATTGTGTCTAGCACAGACCTGACAGAGGCATCTAACCCGAGGGCGCAGACCTCAGCACTTTTGAAGCACGGAGAAACAAGGGGCGGCTCAATCAGTAGAACAGTTTTTGCGCATTAGCAAAAAGACAACACTCTAAACACAGGAATTTGTTACCTTATAAACGGCCTCTGTAAAGCGGAGGTCAGTTTTACCCGTCAGCTCTAAACCAGCTGCCATCAGTTGCTCAGCAAAAGGTGGAGAGAAGGAGGTGAGAGTGAAACTCAGTATTGGCAGAAAAGCTGATGGATCTCCTTTGGACAGCCTGGCAGAGTAACACACAACAGCATTCACAGCATTAGAGCAGAAATCCATCTGCTGTGCTGATTACACATTCGTCGCTTTTCAGAATCAGGTCGTTCAGAACATTCAGCTTTACATTTTGTTCTTTTTTTATTCATCTGGTATATCTGATATGTATTTACACAGACCTGACAGAGGTACAACCATCTGTCTTATGTGCAAATTTACATTCAACATAAATACTTACAGAATATGTACAAATTCATGCAATCATGCATCTTCCCAAAATGGTAAATGTAGTATTATGGGGTATTACAGGCTTTTGGTTGTTTTGTTATTACATTATTAACATACATTCACACATACTTAATCATGTAGAACAAGCCAAGTATTTTCTTACTATTTCTTACAAATGATTCCAAGAACTGTGAAATGATGGGCGGTGCTGCCAAAGCTGCAGAATACACACATGTGCTCTGATACCAATTCACAACCTCTGCTTAACTGGAACCCCGGTGTGAGGCTGACACTTGGTCTGCATGGCCTTAAGTGGCAAACATTTATCTTTCAGTCTTCACAAAGAGCAGCCAGTCTATTGCCAGAATTGTGAACAACCTGCTAAGGACCAAAGTGCTGAACAAAAAAAACATACTGGAAAAACCTGGAAGGTGCAGAGATATTTCTCAGTATTGGGTGGAGCATGTTAGAAAAAAAAAGGGCAAAAAACCCCCAAAACAAAACAAAAAGAAACATTGGACCTAACATTCATTTGATGCACAGGCAGGGGTGGAAATTAGCACTCGCCACTGGCGGGTTTAAATTTGAACAGAAAAATACGTTCAATTTGAGATGCGCCTGGGTTTCTGCTATCTAAATGCCACTATGCGATCCGAGCAAATACTAAAATGTGACGTCGTCAGACTGGCTGGTCAGTAGCGTCACACGATGAGTCATGAGAGCGTCCTGTTCACAAAAATTAAAACTGCCATTTTTGAAACCCGGCAAGGGGAGAAATGGCTACAAAAAACAAGTCGATCCGAGGAGGTGCTAATGGAAAAGGGGCTCTGGAAGGAGGAGGAAAATTTCAACAGTAGCTTTTGAAATGTAGATTTACATTTCTGGAGTTTAGTGGGACGAGTCAAGGGAAGAACCCAAAGTTAAACTGTGATTTTTTTTTTTTTTTTAACGAAAACGTGAAACAAGCTGACAATGGTGAGCTACACGACTGGCTTGTTTTTGATGAGAGCAGCCAGTCAGTGTTTTGTCTTTCGCCCGTGCATGCACACACACACACCCCTACTATAAGCCTACAATGAGAATAAGCATGTAACCTATGTAGTTAGGTCAGGTATTATTTACATGTATAATATAAGATTATGCCACATGCTGACTGCCTGTTGTAAGATTTAATCATTGGGATTAATGTGCAATGTTTGACTTGGTTCTGACCTATTGTGATAAGCCAAAGAAAAGGCTAGTCAGAGTGCTGACTGGCCTTTGGCCAAGACTTTTGTCGGTACCCGTCCCTGCAGCTGTGTTTGGCCTGAGGACGGGTGGGAAAGTTACCCAGCAGCAGGGGCGGGGATACTGGTCCTATATTAGGGGACCAGAGGACACCCCAGCACTCCCTTTTCTCCTGCTGCTGTCCATCTCTGGGTCGCTCTGCTGTCTGTGCTTAAGGCTGTGCACCCCGGGATTTTTGCTTTGCTTGCTATACTCTGTATGTATTTTCTTGCTGTTCATATGATTCAGTGTAAACTCTGTTCCAAGAATTCTCCTCTTTTCCAGCATCTTTTTGACTGCCTTGATTTTAATTGGATCTAAAAAAGTTGGATCTCCACATCGTCGGTGGGATAAGGTTATCAGGATGGCTTCAACCACACTACGTAGAACGTGTTAAAATCTGCAGGGTTCATTTTGTGACAACAGTGATACCTAGTGTTTAACTGGCAACATCAAGGCGATCCATTCAAGCTCAGTTAAACTAAGAGGCTCCACTCACAAAGATTATTGTGCAGCTTGGGGGGAGCAAGTGTCAGGTAAAGAGTAGGGGTGGGGGAAAAAAAATCGATACTGTGTAGCATGGTGATATTTTGTTTGCTAATAATGTATCGATACAGGAACAGCAGAAATCGATATTTTGTAACAAAAAAGGTTTTTGTGCTCTGACTTCAGAGCACGTTGATCCTTTTTCTGAGCAGGAATCCTGACATTCCTTCACTGTCCAAATGTGTTTAACTGTTTTTTGGCAGCAATAAACATGACAGTTTACTTATTTTAATTTAAGACATGTTTTATTTTAATTAAGTTTAAAACTTTTTTATTTAACGTAAAATTATATTTTGTTTTAATTTACTTTCAAATTCTTCAGTTGCTGAAGGGGCTGCATAGTTTTCATAAATTGCATAGTTCAGAATAGCTGTAATTGTACCAGATGGTTGCATTCAGTTAAGTTGGACTAGACTGTAATACAAACCGTTCAGTTTGTCAACAATAAAACTGACTGAGATGAGAGAAAGACTGAGTGTGAGACTTTGTTATTAGATAAAATGAATATTGATAAAGTTTACCTTCATGTACAGAATCTGAATATCGCAAAATAGTTTTTAAAAAATTGCAATAATATCGTGTCGTGCGTTAAGTATTGTGATAATATCGTATCGTGGGATGTATGGTGATTCCCACCTCTAGTAAAGAGTGGGCTGTCTTTCTTTATGAAGGCTGATGGATTGATCCACGGCTCCACGAGCCCACCTGTCAAAGTGTCCCTGAGCAAAATACTGGAACGGCTGCATCCATTGGAATGTTATCTAGCATTTATGAATGGAAATTAAGTAATACGCTTATAATATTCATAATAATATGCTCACTAAAAAAGACAAATATTACTAGCAGTAATTGGAGAAACGCTACAGAAGAAAATGTTTAAGAAAGCACTGGCAATTCACAAAATATCACATTTCTGCAATGAAGAGAAGGAAGGAATAAGTCAAAGAAAAGAGACTTAAAACAAAATCTATTTTATTCATGAGCATGAGAAGTTCACTACTCTCTGAATTAAATCTTATTTATTAGCATTGGCTATGGGTGCTTATTGTCGCACTCAAAGTAAATGGATGGAGCAATGCAAAAGGAACACCAACTGGAAAAAAGAAATCAACCACATACATAAACTTAGAACGAACAATGAAAATATCTGAAAACTCAACAAATCTCTGTCGTTATTGAGGGATTTTACCAAAAGCTACAGTCTGAAAAAACTTAACCTTTCTTTACACAGATTAAAATGAGGGCACAAATTATTGACAAAAATCAATGGAAATGATGTGATCAAGAATTATCTCTGAAAGAACTCAAACAGTTTATCAGTAAACTGAACAAGAAAAAATCCCCAAGTGATGATGGACTCACTGGAACATTTCAGAGGCTCTTTCAAGATCACATCACTGACTTATTAAATGTTTTAAAGGAGGCCACAGAAGCTTGTAGGTTTCTTTCACCAATGTGTCGGGGCTTAATTACACCTGAACCTGATAAGAATCAAATGATACAAAATGATAATTGGAGGCCAGTTACACAAATTAACAATGATGTCAAATTACTATCTTATATTTTTACAGAAAGACTTCAATTCTGTTTGGATGCCATTATAGTTGAGTGTTAATCAGGCTTTGTGCAAGGAAGACAATGATGCATTTGAAGGGATCGCCATCTCAGGCCAGGAAGTTAACAGATGATACAGCTATCTCCTCGAAAGATGAGTTTCAGATTAAAAAACTGTATTAATGTTTTCTCTGAAGTATCAGGTCTTACTTCAAATAACAAAAGGTGTCCTGTTCCCTCTCAAAGAAGCTTGTATCCATAAAGAAATTGAAGGTATTCCTGCCAAAGAAGTAGTAATGACCTTATCTGGGGATTCATATTTGTCAATATCAGTCTGAGAGAGAAATATCTCATTTTCAGCATCAAATTCAACCTGAACTGGATCAAACGTGTCATTAGAGACAAACATAGATTCTGGTATTTAATACCAAACCTTATTTTTAAACATAGAGGGACAGAATCCCTTCTTATGTAGCGCTTTACACAACTTGCCTCATTCGCTGCCATTTGCACAAACACTTTTTTCTATGCTCTTTCTACACAAGTGCTTTCTATCTAACATTCACACACATTCATACTCCGATGGATCATTGTGAAACTTGGTATTAGTATATTGCCCATTCAGACTGGAGGAGACAGCGATCAAACCACCAACCTTCTGATTAGAAGGTGATCTGCTCTTCCTGCTCACCCAAACAAAACTCCAATTCCGTTACAAGCATTTTCATGCTGGCTTCATCTTTACAAACATAATTTTTCCCGACATAAATCTCTGATTTGGAATAACAAATGTATTAAATACAAAAAAATATTTTATATCATAGACTTCATTAGGGCAGCCCGGTGGCATACCTCACAGCAAGAAGGTCCTGAGTTCAAGTCCATCACCTCGCCGGGCCCTTTCTGTGTGAAGTTTGCATGCTCTCCCCGTGTTTGCGTGATATTCTGGGAGTTAGCGGGGTTAGGTTCATTGGTAATTCTATATTGCACATAGGTGTGAATGTAATTGCAAATAGTTGTATGTTTCTATGTGTTGGCCCTGAGACAGACTGGCAATCTGTCCAGGGTGTAGCCTGCCTCTCACCCTATGGAAGCTGGGATATGCTCCAGCCGCCCCGCGACCCTGAAAAGGATTAGCTGAAGAGGATGGATGGATACTTAATTGTACTTCATATCAATATTGATTACATCCACCTTTGTTCTAGCGTTCGTGTCACATACAAATGATGTCACGGGATGGTCGACTGCATTGCTATAACGACCTCAGGCACATTAGGTTGTACTCGATAGTACATGTAATGGAAACATCAAATGGTATGCTTCTCTCCAATGAAGAATTTTGTCTACATCTCAATTTAGCTATAAATCATGACGATGATGCTAAAGTATTTGGCTCAATACCATCAGGGGTTTGTATGCTTTTTAAGAATAAACCTAATATTCCTTCATACCATATGCCGTTGGTATCTCCAATACAAACTGTCATTGGTAAGATATGCTTATCTAAGTATTCTGAAAACAACAATAAATCTATTAGACCTTTATTTCAGAATAGCATAACCAGGGCTGCACATAAGTGGTCCGCGGGTGAGCATTCGCTGTCAAAATAAAAATGCGCACAAGATAAGAAGTTGCAACGCGTGTTTGCGTACATAAGATTTTCTGGAGGAGGACAGACATTTGTTTAGAACTCTTAAAGATGTCGAAGAAGCTCCTTTAAGCAGTTACTGTGATGTTCCTCCACCTCCAAAGAAATGTCAGGAGTCCGAACCACAAAAGAAGCACGTATTCTCGGAAAAGTGGTTGCAGGAGGTGAGCTGGCTTCAAACAAATGATGAACGCACAGAGATGTGGTGCAGAATATACATATATATTCTAAGTTTGGAAACTACCTAATCAGTATTTAATTACCAACAAAGTTAAAGACATTTTTTATAAGGTAATACAAAGAATTTACTCAACTAAAGATTATCTTCAAAGCAAATTCAAATTAGACATTGATGCAAACTGTAGCTTTTGTAAGACTCGCAAGGAATCTGCTATGCATCTTTTTTGGTTTTGTCCCCTTGTACAAAACTTCTGGCAGAGATTACGTGTCTTCATCTCAGAAGATGGATTTAAAGGTTTTGTACTATTTTGGAAACATGTATTATTTGGTCCCCACAAAAACCAAAGACAATTCAACATAGATATGATTAACTTGTTAATCTTAAAGGCTAAATTTCATATTCACAAATCCAAATGTTTAGGAAGACATCCCTCCTTTTCTATGAGTTTTTGCAATATCTTAATTCAATTAAGAAATCCGCTAACCCAAAACTATGGTTGTATGTGGAAAAATGAAGATCCTTCAATCACCGCTCTTTGGTTTAATTAGATAAACTTCTCCCCCTAGCGTATGTGTATTGTATGTTCTGGCTAATGTTTGTTTGTTTCTGGTACAGTTTCTGTAAGTACAAAACCTTTAATGCAATACTGTTTCATTTTACTTTGTATTGTACCAATCTTTAAATAAGGATCTTATTTAAAAACAAACAAACAAAGAAGATAGGAATGGAAAACGATGGCGTCGAGCCGAATAGGCACTCTTGGGAACGAGCTTTGTACCCTTTAGCAGTAAAAATGCTACAACTGAAGAGCCGTGGTTTTTAATCAAAGTGTTTTTCTTACACAAATTACTAATAAAACATTGTAACGCGAATACTGTTAGTTTGGATCTCTTTAGTAACAAGGGACTGGCGGTGGTGACGCTTACCCATTGTAGTCGACGTATCCCGGGTACTTGATCACTCGCAGGAGAGCTTCCAGTTTACGGAGATAACCTTGAACATCTCCAGTAGACAACATTTTAAATAGATGTAAAAGAAAGAAGAGCCCGTTGATACCAATCCCCGCTTTATTCCCAAAAAGGTACGAAGGAGTTTCTCTGTTGTGACAACGCCAAATTTAAAGAAGCCGAATTGATTGTTTAAAAAGTCGAAGCTCTATTAACACTCCTTTATCCTCTTTTCCACAAAGAGACATAACTCGTATGAATCATTCTTCTGCCGCTTTTCCTTTTCCTTTAGCTAGTTTTGTTTCTCCCGGGTCGTCAACAACGCGACGCTCGATTGGCTCTTCTTCTTCTTCTTCTTCCTTAGTTATTAACGGCAGCTTGCATCCAACAATGTTGCACTACTGCCATCTCTTGGGCTATACTGCTACATCATTTCCTTATATGCTCCTGATGACTTTGGTACTTCTCAGAAACGAAATTCCTTTCCCTTCATCATGATTTAACTGAGCAACCACATTCTCAAACTTCAATTCCCTGTTAGTATCCATTTCTACACTCGATATTCTTCTTTGATTGACTTATTTCCGGCAGCTAATAAGCACACGTTCTATTGTTTCTATAGCATTACACCGATTACATAAACCAGCTAGATGTTTCCCCATGTTGAAAGGAGTGCCATTCAAAGAGCAATGACCTGTTCTTATTCTATTTATTATTATCCCCTCCGGGCTACTTATTCCTCTGTCTTGTAACTCCAACTGTATTTTATACAGTTACCTTTTACCGCATTACTCCACACCATTTTTCATAATGTACTATTTTCCAAACTAATATATCTACTAAAATATCTACTCTTGTAATAGCTTCCTTAGCCAGCTTATCTGCTCTTTTGTTACGCTAAATACATACATACATACAATTCTACACCACATATACTAAAAACTAAACTGATGTTCTTTTTTGAAATCTTGATATTTTATTTTATAATTCAGGAGCCACTACTGCTACACCAGTTGTTTCAGTTTTTGGCTCTTTCGATCCATCTGTATAAATCTGCAAGTAATCACTCTACTTGATCTCTACTCTGTTATAAAATTCTTAACAAATATCTGTTATATTTCTTCTCTTTTTAATATCTGATGTCTACAGTTGTGTCATGGGTCCTAATTCTGTGCTATATACTTGAAATACTCTACCAACCCACCCAAAACTATTTTTTAATCCTTTCATTTTTCCAAAACACTTTCTTAACAGGATGACGCTTATTATGAGCTTTCAGGTGTATCCAATAATTAACCATTAACCACTGTCCCCTGATCCGACTTGTAAAGCAGGCTGATTGGCTCTTGGGTCTGTGCGCGTTGCCTACGTCATGCAATAAGTTGACGTCAGTGACGCAGACGCTGGTTCTGCTTTTGTTTTTTTGTTTTTGTTTTTAAAGCTTATTTATCACATTCATGTTAAATACGTAAACTTTAATCCACTGATAAAGACAAACCGGGGGAAGACACGTTTTCTTTCGATTCAACCTTTTTTGTCTATATGACGCGATACAAAAGGTGGGAGGGCCGACAGGAAGAAGAGAGTGGAAACATAATTCAGTTGGTAGACTCCTGTATTGAAGGGCTCTGCTGAACCGGAGGACCTGTTGTTCTGTTGTTATCTGTACTCGGCTTAATGAAATTACTGCAGTATCCGTTTGATAATAAGGAACTCGCGCTTCCAGCTGTCATTGTGCGCAGGTCAGGTTGTCAGAGGAATCATTGAAGTCAGGTTGGTAGCGCCACTTACGTTTCTGTGACGAACTCATATGTTCTTTAATATGTAAATAAAGAGAACGCATTTGTGTCCTCGGTGCACTTAAACTATCTTGGTAGGCTAACTTGATGAATTGAAAGACTAGCATAAGAGTGAAAGACAGTTCAACCAATGGGTTAAGAGGTTCAATGCTACTGTGATTTTGTGGCCAGTGGTATTGAAGGGAGGGCGGGTCTGCAAGTCAAACTACCGTGCTGGCTGGAACTTCCAGCGTTGATGTTTACAACAGTGTAATGGAAGTTGTTTATGTAAAACAGCTGACGTTTGACCGGCCTTCAGACTAGCCGCTGTCTCCTTGCTGTTGGCACGCAGGTACCGAACAAGCCAAATTTGAAGCTAGTTAGCAGCATGTGTGCTCTGTGGATCTGACAGTGTTTGCTAAATGTAGGCCTGTGTCGGTGATCGTTATTTATTCTGAAGCAGTTAGAGTGCTGTCAGATTCTGGTGGCTGCGTAGGCTTTTTAATACATGAAACGGGACACAGCGGCTCATTACTTTGCTTCAGTCTTAACCCTTTATAATCTCGATTTTTTTAATAACCAGGTTTGATCTAAAAAGTATGACCCCTGTTCATAAAGTAAATGGTCAAATGTTGCCTCGAACAGTGCTCACTGTATACATCCATTGATCATGTATTTAATGTCATGTCAAAGTATGCAAAGAAGAAACATGCGTGTACAAAAAAAGATGTAGTCTACTACTTTATTTTTCACACAGGTAAGTGGAAATGTAGCATATTCCTTTATATCATCTAAGTGTCTCCCTCCTGTTACAGATGGGTCAGGCACTGTGGAGGCTGCCTCCCAGACAACAGCAGCAGCTTCAGGAAGAGCTCGCTGATCGACTGGCTGAGAGAGGAGGGGGACGACAGGAGCAAGGTACTCTGCTTCAGAGCAGGAAACAGAATTGACTTGGATATGATGGAAATTCTATATTTCACTGAAATTTTGAAACTGAAACGTTCTGGTGTAATTTATATAAATATTCCCGGTGTTAGACTGCAATCCAGGGTGCGGCGTCATTTATAGATGTAGCCAAGTTCTCTGAATGATATAGATTTAAATTACTATCTCCTATTTGTAATAGTTTTATATGTGAAGATAATGAATCAAAAATATACATTTTCTTCCGCTCAGTCCAGGGTCATGGGGTGGGGATGCTGTCACAGCTGTAACAGGGGAAGAGCAGGGGCTCACCCTGCACATGTCACTGATCTGTCAAGGCTAACACAGACAGATAACCTGTCACACTCATGGCCGATTTAAATTCACTAATTACACGTCTTTCGAGTGTGGCCAGAGAGGGGAACATGCAGACTCCACACAGAAAGGGCTCCTGGATTCAAACCAACGGCTTTCTTCCTGTGAAGTGATGGTGCTAACCACCACACCGCTGGACAGCCCTAAAGTCAGCATATATTTATTTATTCCTAAATCTGTATATATTATTAAGCATTAATGAGTTTCTTATGCCATGTACAGTAATTACACATGCTGTCATTTGAACTGACAGCTAACTGCATTTATCCTCTCCTCTTTAGGTTTATTTTTAACTTTTGGCAGTTTCTACCAAATCCACTGAAAACAATTAACCAGTGGTGAAGCTTAGAGTCAGAAAATGATTCATTTTTCTCCTCGAGGTGAATTTCAATGTCTGCGACTGAATAGAAAAACATTTTCTTCTTTACCCAGGGAGAGATGCAGGCTCGCAGAAAAGAGCTCCACAGCACTGCTATCGGCCTGACATCTATCATCTGCTGAGAACACGCAGTGGCGGTATAAACATACAAACACACACGATGCAATCTGTATTAACAATTCATGCCTGTCGGGAATCCAAACATCTGTGACCATGTCCCCAGGGAGGAAAAAGTCCTTCATTCTCGTTTACTTACATTTGGGCTTCACTTCTCTTCACTTTCACTATGAAATAATCCACTCAGTGAGATCATGTGAGATAAGGATTTCTAAACTAAAACAAGGAAATAGGTTTCTGTAGCATCCTGTCCTTTGAGGCTCTATTTTTGTTTGTGTGTTTGTTACATTGTCCATTCCACACATCAGTCGGGTCCCCCTCTGACACGATCGTGCTTGGGTAAAAACTTGTGATGCACATGTACTAACTTGTTATGTTGTAAACTGTTTGGAAGAGGGACAGCTTTATTGAATAAAACCATGCTGATCGCATCTTGCAGACGTCTGCTCTGTCAGTTGATTGCACCACTTGATAAACCTAACTAAACAAGAAACAATCAAACAGTGTCAGTAACTACAGCTTGTTGGTCCAACATAAACTAATCAAAGTCTATTGGCAGCAACCAAACAACCCAATGACATCATACTCTGTACTAAACATGTAACTTTAGACACTTATTTCTTAAAGCCAACTTGACATATAATGTTAAATCGATGCCTTTATTAATGTAGTGTTTCATCTCCACTTCAGTACTGTTTAGTTGCTTCTTTTAACATTTTGTACATAATCAGAATAGCTGTAGTTAATAGGCTATTACTTTTGATTCATATGCAGGACGTTAAACCTAAGAAAGAGATAAATACTTTCATCCAACTTGATTATTAGCCACACAGAAAGGCTCCATCCGGGGTTTCAACCTGGATCTTGCCATTAGGTGAGGCTGGTGGGCTGTAACTATTCTATTGTAGGAAAGGATTGTATGCTGTCCGAAGGTTTCCAAGAAATTTGGGTGTAATTAGTGAGAGGCATAGCTGTTTGGCCATGAGTTCTGCCATGAGTTCTGCTTAGTAAATGAGTTTTTTAGCATGTACTTAAAATCAGGACAAAGTACGCGTACAGTGCTTCAAGTCAGTTTGCATTTTGAAGTCCTGGTACTGGGGTCTCTTAGTTGGCCCCGAGGTCTGAACACACTGCAGCTTAAGAAAATGTATGCAAATCGAAAAACAGAGCAAATTATGAAAACGTCTTCATCAATTTCACAGCTCATATGTTCTAAAAGCATGCAGTGCAACCAAATACAGAAAAATGCTACAACTAAATCTGAATACGTCTGTCTATTTTGTCTCTCCTTTTTTGGTAGGTAAGGAACCTCATGGTTTTATAGACTTGGAGATGCTGCCACCTGAACTGGGCATCACCATACTGTCATACCTGAATGCTACTGATCTGTGCCTGGCTGGATGTGTGTGGCAGGGTCTGGGAAATGATGAATATCTTTGGCAGGGGTAAGGCACTTCACCTCGGTTTTTTCTTGTGGTAATTACATTTTTACTAGAAGTGTTACAAATGTCTATGTTGTTGTTGTTGTTTTTTTTAATAATCCATGTCAATTCCTCCAGGCTATGTAAGTCCACTTGGGGCCACTGCTCCATCTACAACAGAAGGCTTCCTGCTGGTTTCTCATATAGAAGACTATACCTACAGCTAGATGAAGGCAGCCTGACATTCAATGCTAACCCACAGGAGGTAATATATAAAGTTACACCCAGGATCTGTAGTAGAGACGCATCAACTGTGAATATTTCTTTTGTTTCCATCAAATCTCCTGCCAGCCAATATGTTAATTTTTCCAGGATTTCAGTGTAAGAACAAAATAACTTAATCCCCGTCCTTCACCTGACCTAATGATTTAGTCAAAGGGTCAGTATTGGTTGATGCGCACATCTGGATTTGGGGCATCTGCAGTCTGTTGTCTAAACCTTCAGTGATAACAGTTGATACAGTTATACACTGGAGGAAATAAGTATTTGATCCCCTGCTGAATTTGTAGGTTTGCTCACTTACAAATAAATGAATAGCATCTGTGTGAAGGGAAGCCAATGCAGGAGAAATATTTATCTCTCTTTCTGGTCCCTGTCAGTACTCCTGCTGGAACATTTTGGATCAATTGAAGGCTTTTCAAGGAGCTTTTAGTTTTTAGCAATAAATGCATGAACTAGTTTTTCAGCGTCACTCTGAGACAGGATATTTCTAACTTTAGAGATGTTGCACAAATGGAAGAAAGCAGTCTTACATATTTGTTTAATATGTGCGTTGAAGGACATGTCCTGGTCAAAAAGGACTCCAAGGTTCCTCACAGCGTTACTGGAGGCCAAGGTAATGCCATCCAGAGTAAGAATCTGGTTAGATACCATATTTCTAAGCTTTTCAGGGCCGAGTACAATAACCTCAGTTTGATCTGAATTAAGAAGCAGAAAGTTAGCGGCCATCCAGGTCTTTATGTCTTTAAGACATTCCTGCAGTTTAACTCATTGGTGTGTGTTATCTGGCTTCATGGACAGATAGAGCTGGGTGTCATCTGCATAGCAGTGTAAATGTATGCTATGTCTTCTAATGATGCTGCCTAAGGGAAGCATGTATAATGTAAACAGAATTGGTCCTAGCACTGAACCCTGTGTAACTCCATAATTAACCTCAGTGTGTGAAGAGGACTCTCCATTTACATGCACAAACTGGAGTCTATTAGATAGATATGATACAAACCACTGCAGCGCAGTACCTGTAATACCTACAGCATGTTCTAATCGCTCTAATAGGATATTATGGTCGACAGTATCGAACGCTGCACTGAGGTCTAGCAGGACAAGCACAGAGATGAGTCCACTGTCAGAGGCCATAAGAAGATCATTTGTAACCTTCACTAAAGCTGTTTCTGTGCTGTGATGAGCTCTGAAACCTGACTGAAACTCTTCAAATAAACCTCTGCAGATGATCTGTTAGCTGTTTGACAACTACTCTTTCAAGGATGTTTGATATGAAAGGAGACTGACTTATGATTGGTGATGGCTAAAAAGTGGCTAAAAGTGATGGCTTTTTAACTACTGCCAGCTCGAAGGCCTGTGGTACATAACCAATTGAGTCGATAGGTTGATCCTATTTAAGATTGAAGAATTAATTAATGGCAGGACTTCTTTGAGCAGTTTTGTAGGAATGGGGTCTAAAAGACACGTTGATGGTTTGGAGGAAGTAATTATTGAAGTTAACTCAGAAAGAAAAATCTCTAAATAAATATCAATGGTGCTGAAAGTAGCTGTAGATAATGTTACATCTGTGAGATGATTATGGGTAATTTTTTCTCGAATGGTCAAAATTGAGTTTGCGTTTTCCAACAGGGGTGGACAAGGCTAAGCATCAGGCTTTCAAATGAATGAAAACTCTGTTTAGGTCTTTGGTTGATCAACAAGCTAGAGTGGGAGATTGCTAGCATAACAAAATAAACTAGCAACCTGACTGCTCATTAGTTTGGTAACTCTTGTAGTTCAACAGCGCAAATGACGGCGCTGGGCTGGGGTCAGCATTTACTCAACGTTAGTGTCATTGTGGGTTATTGGCTAGCTTAGCTTTAGCATGCTGTCTGTGCAGGTGCATGTTGTGTTAGCAACATTGTGCTGTTGTTTCTGTCCTCAAATAGTCTCTACTTTACCATTGCGCTCGTGTCCCTTTGTGCGAAAAAAATCGAAGTAATGTCCGTATCCACACTATAAACTGTGCCACTATTTTCCTTTCCCCAACACACGGACTGAAATCAGCTAATCGTAGTGAGAGTGCAAGAACCAAGCTGTCGTTACACTGTCACCACGCCTATATAATAAATACTGCATGAAAATTGAGTGTTTTGTAGATTGGGAGACGCTGCCGCTCACAGTAAAAGAATTTGTCGGCTACAACTTGTAGTTTTCTCTTGGGAAGCATTTGTTTTAGAGCTGCCTCTCTGTTCGGCGGGCTTTCTGTGTCTGACCCTGAGACGCAGACGTCCCCCTTCCCTGAGTCGCTGAGTCAGTGTCTAGATTCTAACTTTAGTCCTACAAGTCTTTGCTATTTCAGAGCATCATTTTCCTCTTTGTGTTTGTAGGGTATCAGTTACTTCATGTCCAAAGGTATACTAGTGGATCACCCCACTGAGCTGGCAAAGTTTATTTTCTACACCAGACGGCTCAACTGGAAGATGCTAAGGATTTATCTGGATGAGAGGTTAATACACACACACACACACACACACACACACACACACACACACACACACACACACACACACACACACACACACACACACACACACACACCACTCTTCACTTGACATTCACAACAGTTTGTTAAGCTGAAAGGTTGACACTTGCAGTTCATAGGTCCATGAATGTTTAGAGACAGTCACATCATAATAGATTAGTTTGCAGTCCAGTGTGATGGTGCTCAGAGGGAAAATGTTTACCTACTGTGTCCAAATACATTTGGTCCTAACTATCCCCAAATATATAAATATGCCTTTACTGCTAACTATTAAATGTATTTTCATGTTAGTATAGATATTTTAATATGTTTGTCTGGAACAAGTCTCTCTTGTAAATGACAAATTGAATCTCAATGGGATAAATAAAGGTTAAATAAATAAAGATAGTATCTGTATGCTATTCTGTGACTGCAGCTTGTGTGACTGTATGTTTCTGTGTGGGCAGACGGGATGTCCTGGATGAGTTGGTGAAGCTCCATAACTTCAGTAACCAGTTTCTCCCCAATGCTCTGAGGGATTTCTTCAGACACATCCATGCGCCCGAGGAGAGAGGAGAATATCTGGAAACCCTTATTACCAAGTTCAGCCACAGGTTTTGTACCTGTAACCCTGGGCTTGTTCGAGAGCTGGGCCTCAGTCCTGGTTAGTACTTAGTGTTCCTGCTTTAAGTACAGGAGTTAACTTAAGTGTCACCAGTGTGTCTGGGCCTCGAGATGGCTCTTTGATAGAAGATAGTCTTCTTCCTCTTCAGCTGCTTCCTTTAGGGCTTGTCACATAGGATCATTTCACCGTATCCCTCGCATCCTCCTCTGTCCAACCAAGCCCGTGCATGTCCTCTCCTCTGTGGGCCTCCTCTTTTCTTCATGTCTGACAGCTCCAAATTCAACATCCTTTGTCCAATGTGTCCACTATCGCCTCTCTAAACATGCCCAAAACCATCTAATCCTTGCTTCTCTGAATTCATCTCCAAACCATTCATCATAGCAGGTCTCACTATCATCTTTTAAACCTTCCTTTTGTCACAAATCACCCTGACGTCCATCTCCACCCACTCCACCCTGCGTGCACTTGTTTACCTTTCTTGTGCGTCGCGTTAAACGGTTGACCCAGCATATTTAAATTCATCCCCTTTCACTCTTTCTGCTCTGTGTTCACCGTAGCACCCGCCTGCCTCTCACACACACAAGTGTATTCTGTCTTGCTCCTGCATAGCTCCACTGTTGCAAGCTCTCTTTCACCTGCTCTCATCTGCAAACATCAAAGTCCATGGAGACTCCTGCCTGACCTTATTTGCCAACTTGTCCATCACCATAGCAAACAAGAAGGGGCTCGGAGCTGATCCCTGATTTAATTCCACAACCACCTGGAATCCATCTGTCACTCCGACCGCACACCTCACCACTGTCTCACTTCCTTACTATCCTTCCCCAGCTGTTTATGCTTCTGATTTTCTGACTTCCTCATACACATTTCCTAGCAGCTCCATTTGACCCTCTCAAAGAACATCTCATTTGCATCTGTAGAGCTCTTTCTTGGCATGAAGATGGCTCACCAGCTTTATCCCTCTGTAGTTGCTGCACATCACTCTTGTTTTGGAAACACTGTACCCTTCCTCAGCCATCCTTTGTTAAATAGTCTGATCAAAAACTCCTCCAAAATAAGACACGGTACGTCATTTGAACGACCTGCCTTTCCACTCTTCATCTGCTTCATAGCGGCCCTGATTTTGTCTCATTCACTCTGTCCTCCATCCGCCCTCCTCTCTCTCATTTTCTGTGTTCATCATCTCCTTAAAGTACTCCTTTTATCTACTCAACACACTATCTTTACCTGTTAGCACATAGCCACTGCTATCCTTAATCTGCTGCACATCTTTTCCATCTTAATAATCTCTCTGCCTTGCCAGTCCAAGTCCTTTCATAATGTCCACCCTCACACACAACTCTCTGTAAAACCTTTTCTTTGGTGCTAGCATTAAAGAGATGCCCAGCAAACACTAAGATGCTAACATTCGTGGATATTTTGTTTTTGCCAGAACTGTTAAACTGATGTTGTCATTGACAGCGAACCGTCTTGTATTTGATTTCTGAAACAGATAAATGATAATAAGAGTAAAACTGGAAGCTTCAGTTTTTCGGATTCAGAAATGTCGAGGGAGTGTGATTTTCATCGTCCTGCTGTAGTAACAACAAACTGTAGTATGCAGACATGACATGAAAACCTCATTCACTGCCACATAATAAGGATGTCAGAAGGTTTTATTCTTTCCCTGCATTTACCAAAGGCTTTGTTAATGTCAGCAGAACACAGAGAAACCAATGCCTCTCTGGATTATTGCTAACTCGTCTGAACTGCTTGTGTGGTTAGGAATTGTAGCAGGATCAGTCTGACACTTTAGAGCCCAAGACTAGAGAGGGATGGATTACTGCCTTTTCATGGATGTGGTAATCTAACCACCTGTCCCCTCTGGAAAGTCTTGGAAACAAGAATGCTCTAGAGCTATTTAGTAGTAGAAATCACTCAGATTGACGAGTTTTTCCACTTTCTGTTCCTCTCTCCAATTCCAATCTGGTGCCTTCTCTCTGCAGATGCTGTGTATGTGCTGTGCTACAGCCTTATCTTGCTCTCCATCGACCTCACCAGCCCACACGTGAAAAACAAGATGTCCAAGAGGGAGTTTATCAGGAACACACGACGAGCAGCACACAATGTTTCGGATGACTTCGTAGGCCACCTCTACGATAACATATACCTGATCGGCCACGTTGCTGCGTAGCTCCAACTGTCAGCTGACCGTACTGCACTGAAAAAATAAGAACCGGCCTCGTGTCTAAAAGTATGGATCACCACAGAAATGGATTCGAACAACTTTTCACATCTAACGAGGAATACGACGGCTAAATCTTACTGGAAAGATCAGAAACAAATAAAATTGTCACTCCACTGCGAGAGACACTGCGCTACCAAAAATTAATGTTGACACGTGAAAGAACCTAATTTCTTTAAAACCCAGTCACTGCAGAGGAGGAGATTTAAAGCAGAGCCACGAAGACACTGCACTGATTGAAAGGGACTACTGACTGATGGTGGAGGAAGAGCAGGAAAAGCTTCGTCTTCAGTCTGTTTTCTGATGTCAGGGTAATTCTGCTGATTCCGTTTAGCTAAGCGCTGCTCGTCTCTCAGCTGCAGGACGAAGCCTGGCTCACTCTTGTTGGTAGTGACACACGAAATTAAATGGAGCTAACACAGTATCAAACATACCATCAGTTTAATAAGAAGATTAATTGTTAAGCAGTTGAGCCCATGCTATAAACAGTAGGCTTGATCAGCCGTATGGACACTATGGCTAGTAGATCAGTTGTAGACTGTTTTTGAAACTGCTTTGCTGAATAAGCCTAAATATGTCTCAAAACCCTCCGAACTATAATTTAACCACTGGGCTCTCATCCTGAGGCATAAGAGTCAGTACACATGAACACTAAACGATGCCATGTAACAGGGTTTTACCTGCAGTATCTGTAACAAACACAAGTTATGGAGGCTATAATACTACTGTGGCAACGCTGAAGTCAAACAGAGGATTCCTGCTGCAAGTCGGAAAGATTTTCTAATTATATTAATGAAAGAAAATTGAGACACTCTATATCCACATGTAGTTTAAAATGAATGTGTGAGAATCTTGTTCTTGCAGGAGGGCTGCTGTTGTAAATTTTAAATATTGCAAATTGCAATACAGTTGATTGTTAGTAACAGCTAATAAACATGCATATCTTTAGTTACTTTTAGTTGAAAGTGAGTATGTGATTTAAGAAAACGTGTCATAGCAGTGGCTTGGTGGTGATGGAGATGGATGCTTATTAAGAGAAAAATAGCTCAAATCAAGTGTAGAAGGAGATAATGTTAGCCAAGAAAAAAGGAGTTTTATTGGGTCTTTGGGGATTTGCCTCCTGAACAGGGGTGGATGCCAGAACTCTGTAAATAACATTTATAACAGAGTATAACTATGATTTAGGGCGTTCATAAAACTGTGTCCTGAACAGAGTTTAGCCCAACTGCTACAGTTTAGTTTTATTTCCTGGACAAAAAAGTCTTCCACTTTGTTCTGTGACATTAATCACATGTAGTGTAATTCTGTTTTACAGTAACACCACAACCCCTGCAAAAGCAGTCCCATGCTTTCAGAGGTCAGTGAGTCGGTGCTCTCAAGTTTTATTTAGCTTTCTATTTATATAACTAGCTGCACGGTGTCTGAGCTGTTATTGATGGATTTGTAAGGTAACACTACAATAGGGAGGACATAGATTGATTGTGGATACAGATACTCATTCTACTTTTTAATAAAAGTAAAGTTTTAATCAGGTGACCTGAACCATCTTGTAGATGTGCTGCAATATGCTTCGGGTGCTGGGGGGCTTCCCATGATGCACGGAGCACTTCTTCTTCACTCACCTCTCTGTATTTAATTATGAGCAGTGATTAAACTCTGGTTCTCTCCTGTAGCGTGCTTCCTGTCCTGTCTCTCTCTGCTCTCTCTTCTTCTCTTTATTCCCCACCACAATACTCACTCTGTGCTCGTAGCTTCTAACAGCGAGTGCCAACAGCCAGAATGTAGCTGCAGCTAAAGGGATCACAGCGTTCACTTAATGTAACCATAGCAACAACACATTTTCTGTGGTTTAATTAAGGGTTTGATTTTATTTGATCACGGTGGGGGTATTGTAAAACAGTCAAAAGATACTGGTTTTGTTTTCTGTCCAACTCATTCTCTTCTTTAGATCATTATCACTCAGACATTTGACACGAATGTTTAAATTATGAAATCTTTATTGTTGTTTTTTTCTGTGTTCTTATGCTATGAAAGTCAAAATGCACTGAGAACTTGTTCCAAGGATGTGTCTTTATTTTCCTGACGAGTTTCAACCAAGGGAGAAACTTGTGGCATTCCCTCAGAGCAAGCGAGACAAGCAATGCTCCTCTTGTCTAAATTAAAACGTACGAAAGTAAAGCGATCTCTCTCCTTTAATATCAGACGTGCTGTCGTGAATCCTTATGCTACGCTAGCGTTCTCTGTGTCCATCTCGTTAACAACGACTGAAGCTGTGCAAAGCTGAGATGCCGGCAGCTGCTTTTCTGGTGAATTGCACATGCACAGCTAAATGCACTGAGATCAGTTACAACCTGTGCTTGGTGTGAAACTCAGCTAGCATTACCAAGTAAATGACATTAAGTGATTTATCAAAGTCACAGATGAGTTGCCACCTTAGCAGGCGTATAACAGAGTAGATGGAGTATGGAAAAGTATTTAATAACTTAAAAGTAAACCTCTTAATTCAGCAGATTTTAAAATTATTATTCATAAATTTTACCTTTAAAGAAATTTTTTTTTTCCAGCGATACGTGAACCAATCATGAACCAGACACACATTGGGTTGTCAGACGTAGACTAATAGAAACCAAAAACCCAACAAACACTTACACAGCTATGAAAAACCTGATGGGGATCAGATAGGAGCAATGCTCCACGTTCTCAAGCTTTCTAATCGAGCAGCAAGCTGTCCGCAACTAATTAGCATTAAGAATAAATGAGAGAAGGGTGAGAACATGATAATGGGACTGACAATAAAAAATGCAACAGGACAGTGAGTGTACAAAGGCTCCGAGGTCACGTGCAACACGTCTTTGTGTATAAAAACTGGTGAGAACCAGAAAAGGTTAGGTTTAGATTCTGCAAGGTCGTCATTTTCTGTTAAGCAAAGCTCAGGCTTCAGTTAAAGTTAACCTTAGGATATGTGGTTGTTAAGTTCATGACTCATTACACCGGCTTCTTCCTCAAACTCAAAAATAACTGGAGTGTGTAAGAGTGTTCGTATTTGAGGTAAAACATTCAATCTCGACTCCAGATACTTGATGTGTGTGATTCAGAGACAGACGCAGAACAACCTGTCCCCTGCTGCTATTTGTTTTATGCATTGCAAATGATTAAAGATCGGGGGCTACAGACACATTCCCATCCATACATACATGTAGGCACACTTACTGCTGTGCATGTGTGACCATATTCATACAGTGCCAACACAACTGATTGCTAAAAGAAGGAACTTAATGTTGTCGTCAGCTGTGTTACTACTGGAAATGCTTGAAAATTGGACCCTTTTTAAAACGTGGATAATACAGCATTTAATTTACAGAGAGAATGAATTAGGAATTTGCACTATTTTTCATGAAATTAGTGTTTCAGTAATATGTCACTGAAAACACAAATGTACCCACATCAGCTGTAATATAAGCACATGGTTGTCTTGAACAGATGCGTATGACACTCTATTTTGTTTAAAGCCATGTTTACTTATTTTCGTATTACATGAGGCACTGAGTTTGTCAGACTCCAGTTATAGATTATACCTTTAGAAGGAAAGACATGTACAGATGATGTCAGATAATGTGACATCGTGTGGTGTAACGGCTCCGCTTTTGCTGATGATTTTGACCCAAACGTGTCTCGAGGCTTTGAAACGATCTGAAACTCAACTCCGTGGTGACATCTGCTGGCCAGTTTGGCTATCGCCACATCGTGATTATGCTGTCCGGTGAAACGATGATGCAGACAAGCCCAGTGCAGACTGTAATGATCAGTGTGGTTCATCAAGTATCTCCCTCTGTTAATATTTGTGTTGATCAAAAGAAATGAATTCATAAAGTAAAACATACAAGACTGTTGTGTTTACTGTAATAAGCACACAGGTTTCCAGCTGTTTACGGCTTCGTTTTTTGCTCACAGCTCTCAAACTTTGATTGATTTTTTATTACTTTTAAGTTTTCTGGGAGTTCCTGTCATCAGGTTTGTTCTACACACTCTCAAACAAAGCTACAAGCTGGCGTAGTGTGACTTTTTAATTATTTGCATAAATATACACACTACCAGTCAAACGTTTGGACACAGCTTCTCGTTCAGTGTTTTTTCTGTATTTTTGTGTAGATACAAACTGAAAACATCACATATATGAAGCAAGAAGCGCCTTGAGGCGACTTTTGTTGTGATGTGGCGCTATATAAATAAAACTGAATTGAATTGAAGATGGGATTATATGGGATTATAAAGATAATATATAACTCTAAATCTGTTTTATATTTTAGATTCCTCAAAGTAGCCACTATTTGTTTTTCAATGAGCTTCATGATGTACCTGAAATGGTTTCACTTCACAGGTGTGCCTTGTCAGGGTATTTAAATGAAAATTCAAAATGAGTTTTCCTTTTTTAACTTTTATCACATTTTCATGGGCTAATTCTGACCATGTGAACACAAGGAAAGCGGCGGGGCCAGACGGCATCACCGGCCGTCTGCTGCGCTGACCAGCTAGCAGGTGTGTTCACTTCCGTCTTGCCCAAGAACAGCAGACCCTCATCCCTGAACGATTACCGGCCAGTTGCACTGACCTCAGTAGTAATGAAGGCGGTCGAGAGGCTGCTGAAGAACATCATCTCCTCCTCCATCCCAGACACCATAGATCCGCTCCAGTTCGCCTACCGACCCAACAGATCCACAGAGGACGCCATCGCCCACGTCCTACACACCACCCTCAGCCACGTGGACAAGAAACAGGGTAACTATGTGCGAATGCTGTTTGTTGATTACACTTCAGCGTTTAACACAATAGTGCCCTGCAGACTGTTCACAAAGCTGAGGGATCTGGGACTCAACAGCCATCTGTGTGCATGGGTGTTGGACTTCCTCACTGGGAGAACTGGGTAGGTAGATGCCTCTCTAACATCCGTCGGGGCAATCGTGACTCAAGAGTTGGCAGTTTGTCTTGTAACCGGAAGGTTGCCGGTTCGAGCCCCGGCTCTTGGTCGTTGTGTCCTGGGGCAAGACACTTCACCTACCGCCTACTGGTGTTGGCCAGAGGGGCCGATGGTGCGATATGGCAGCCTGGCTTCTGTCAGTCTGCCCCAGGGCAGCTGTGGCTACAACTGTAGCCTCCACCAGTGTGTGAATGTGAGAGTGAATGAATAGTGGAATTGTAAAGCGCTTTGGGTGCCTTGAAAAGCGCTATATAAATCCAATCCATTATTATTATTATTAACAGCATCACCATGTGGAGAGCATCTTCACACAGAACATGACATCGTGGTTCAGGAACAGCTGTGTGAAGGACCAAAAAGCTCTCCAGAGAGTGATCCGTACAGCAGAACGCTGCTGCAGGATTGCTCTTCCCCCGCTTCAGGACACCTACACCAGGAGATGCCGGACTAGAGCAGATACTGAAGGACCCGTCCCATCCTGGCAACAAACTGTTCCAACGTCTGCAATCTGGTAGAAGGTTCCGCATCTTCCGGGCAAGGACAGAGAGACTCAAGAGGAGCTTCTATCCCCAAGCCATCCGGGCCCTAAACCATTAACCTCTTACTGCTGTGGATGCTCTGTCTTGTAACACAACCACAGTGAACCTTTGGCTTTCTGTTATTTATGAGATAATTGCACCAGAAGCATCATAATGTCATAGTATAGTAATGTCACTAGAATCAGAACAAATCTTTGACTGGTCCTTTTTCATAGTTTTTTCACAACTTTGGTTTTGGAAAGTCTTTTATTCATTGGATAACAGCTCTATATAACTTACCCCCCAACAGGTCATATCACAATGTTTCACCCTGGAGAGAGGGACCAGACAAGGATGAACACGGTCACCCATATTATTTGCAATTTTCCACAGACATACTGGTCGTCACAATACACGAGAATTGGAATATCAAAGGTATTTAAACCTCCCTATTGGAGCACAAAATTAATTTATATGATGGAAATGTATTACTGTGTCTACAGGACAAGCTCAGTAGTTTGTAGTTGGATAGAAGTAGAATAAATAGATTCTAATAACGTTAAACTTTCAGACCTTACAAACATATTACCATTTCAATTCCCAATTAAATCTTCTTGGGAGGGAAGGTTGGGATGGTTTTAAGGTAACTGGTTTTGTCCAACATAGGCTGGACCAGGGGTAGGGAACTCCAGGCCTCGAGAGCCGGTGTCCTGCAGGTTTTAGATGTGTCCTTGACCCAACACAGCTGATTTAAATGACCTCCTCAACATGTCTTGAAGTTCTCCAGAGGCCTGATAATGAACTAATCATTTTATTCAGGTGTGTTGACCCAGGGTGAGATCTAAAACCTGCAGGACACCGGCTCTCGAGGCCTGGAGTTCCCCACCCCTGGGCTGGAGTGTGCAGTCTGCATGTATGAAGCCTGGCTCATTTTTGGTGCAGCATGTTCTGGGGTTTAAAAGCCACAGAGATGCAGTGTTTGTGGGAACGGTGCTTGTTCTGTGTTGTAGCGTCCTAATGACACCCAGTTTGTGCTCCAGTGGATGATGATGATGATGATGGAGCACAAACTGGGTGTCATCAGGACACTACAACACTCTTTCAATGATGAGGATGTACATCCTGGACAGGGAGGAACGCTGGTTTGAGCGCGGAGTCAAGGAGGCCATTTACATGAAAGGGGAAAGACCATCTCTGAATCAACGAGGGGCCCAAGGGTACATCTGTCACCATCTTACAATGCTGTGATTGCAGCCATTCAACTCTCTGTGAATGGGACTCATGGCCATTGATCAGTGGTCATGACAATTTGCATATTAATGACCTGGAACTGACCTCACAGCCCATTGTTCATTCAGTGGGCTGGTTTCAGTCATTGTGCAGATGTGCTGTTTATAAGGTTGGAAACCTGCAGTCAGCTGAGGCTACGTCCACACTAGCCCGGATAAATTTGAAAATGGTGCCCGTGTCTGGAAACGCTCCGCGTCCACACTATCGTTTTCATTCGTTTTCACAGTTGTGCGTCCACATTGAAATGGCCGAACACGCTTACGTTCCAGTCCTGCGCATGCGTGACATGCATGACGACTCGACCTGCCTCATTTCTTTCTGCCGCTTATTTACTTTCCGGCTCTTTGAAACGTTGCGGCAAAATGTCGAGGAAAAGCACCGAGTTTTTCAAATGGACTAACAATGAGGTGGAG